ATCAAGGCACTCTACTCAAACTCAAGTAACCGTGTAAGGGCTAATGGGAAATTGTCATCTGAATTAATAACAACCAGTGGTGTCCGTCAAGGATGTCCACTTTCCCCATTCCTGTTTAACTTCTTCATAGCTATGCTAATGGAAGTATCCTTAACTGGACTTAACGACTTAGGAATCGACTTACTACCAAGGGATAGTCTTATGGACTTAGAATTTGCAGATGACATAGTCCTGTTAGGGGAGGATGCTGACAAAATAGAGCAGAGTCTTCTGAACACCTTGAGCAGCAATCTTCGTATGTTTGGCATGCGATTCGCCCCTGTAAAATGTAAGATGCTGCTACAGGACTGGACTACGTCAACTCCTAGCTTAGTGATAGGGAGTGAAGTGATAGAACATGTTGACCACTTCACCTATTTGGGAAGTTGTATCAGCACCAATGGATTGATTGATGACGAAATTTCAGCACGGATCCAAAAAGCTCGAGCTGCTTTCGCTAACTTACACCATCTCTGGCGTAGGCGTGACATCCGACTATCAACCAAGGGACGTGTGTGCTGCTCACCAGTTCGCTCCGTCCTTCTCTATGGCTCTGAAACATGGCCAATACGAGTTGAAGACATGAAAAGGTTGACTGTTTTTTAAAATTATCGATTGAATGAGTTGAGTATTTGTGTATTGCCTAACATCAACCGGTTGTTGTGCTTGCTAGCTAACCAGGTCGAAATGATGTAAACACTGGACGGATGTTGCGCTCATTCGGCGCTCAGCTCATCAGTGATGTACCACTTTACTCAGTTTGATTCAGTTCAGAGAACCAAATCAATTCAAACAACCTGATTTATGTGGCTAGCTACTTTGGAGAACTGGTGATATCATGTCAGATAATGCGGAATTGCGGGCTAATTTTACAAGTCCCATCGAGTGCTAGGTAAGGGGGGAAATCAATCGATGAGGTTGCAAAGCTACATCGATTGAAAGAAATGGTTAGGAAATGTGTAGCAGGCATCGCCTTCCTCCTTGACAGGCAATGTTAGCTGACCAATATAGGATCAAGTTGAAGAAGAGCACTTACGTAGTGGTCAATGGCCATGCTCACCAGCCACATCCCATGTTGTCCCGGGTTCGATTCCTTGGGCAACGTACTCCCAAAACACGCAAAGCCAGCAAAAATGTCCGATAAAGAGGAAAGGTTAGGCGTGAGGCTAGCAACCTTATCTGGCAAAAGACGAAATCACTGCGACCGAAACTTCAAGGACCAAGATTGAATCCCTATTTCCCATTGGGAACGCAAAAGAAATAAATAAAATAATCCAAACAGCCAGCTCACCTCTAGATAGTTAAGGTGTTTTCAGTTTTGTTTTAAGAAGCAAGTCTTGTTGATGTCATTTGGTTTTGCCTAAGAGTCTCTACCTCATCCATTACTGGCCGGGTAGACTTGATAAATCTTTGTCAAAATATCGTCTTAAGCTTTACTCTATTCAACAATCCTATTTATAAATAATTTAATTGTTTCAGTGTCTTTGGCAATTTATTTAACATCCGATAGATGATGATAGAGAAGGATTCTTCAATGCTGACTTTGTGGCCAGTTTGGACCAGGTGGTCTAATATCGAACTGTTGATGGTTTTCACCACACCTATACTTGGCCATATTGGGAGATGTTCTCGAGTGAGCACGAAAAATCAAGTGCCTAGAGCAACGGCCGATATAACTCGCTCCACCACAAGCGCAGTTGAATTGGTAGAAACAATTAGAATTGGCTAGTCTTGGTACTTCATCTTTCAGTCGAGATAGCACCATCGGTAGTGTGGAGAATAAGACGCGTGCTTCGCTAGCATTAAAAGTTCTTTGAACTGATTTTCGTAATTTCTTCGTAATTATTTCACTTAGTATGTTGCCCTCGAATTGTAGTCGTATATAAACAGTCTTCTTGTGTTACGGTTAGCGAGTGCATAGTCCTTTTCCGCTTTCTTTATCATGTGTTTCTTGATAAATTTGTCTGGATAGCTATTTTCAACCAAGGTATCATATACAATGCCTAATTCATCTTCAATTACTTCTTCTGAGCATATAGCTCTAACTCTGTGGCTGAGGGTCTTTACTAAATTCCTGTTGTACTGGAGAGGAACAAAGCTGTGAAAATGTGTATATTGTTCTGTTCATTTACTTTTCCTATGCAAATTTCTTTTTATGCTACCACCTGGTTTCACCTAGTTTCTTTATAAAGACGACATCCAGGAAGGGAATTCTCTTTTGGGATTCCTCTTCGCATGTGAATTTCATCGCAGAATGTACTTCATCGAATTGAGTTATTATTGTATTCCTATCCGAATCATTATTACAAAGAATGAAGGTGTTATCCATATACAGGCAATGAAATGACAATTTTCTGATAAGGTTGGTCAGAGGTCCATTTTCTAGCTTACTCAGTAAGAAATCTGCCAAAATGGGGAACGCATTACCACCCCGTCCATTTGTCTGTAAAGTTTGTCATCAAATTTGAAATTTACATTCATGGTACATCTTAATAACAATTCTTTTAGGATTTCCGTTGAAATGCCAATATTTATCGACTGGTTATACACTCGTTCGTATATGTAGTTAACTGTTTCAAATTGTTTTCCTCTCTCATATCATACTAGTTAGGTAAGCTGTTGTTTAGGTGGATACCAGAAGTATACCAAGTTTAGTACAGATGATAAAGTGTTACGCAATAACATTACATCAAGTCCTGTGTACTTCCATGATAAATGCTATATTAGGTTGAGTAATATTGAGGTTTAGCGTCAAGTGTTAGGTAAGGAAGGAAATTTCAGTCGATGAGGTGGTGAAGCTACATGAATTGAGATGGTTAGTGCACGTGTTACGTATGCCTAGTCGTCGCCTTCTTCGACGACGGTCAATGTTACCTGACTGACATAGGATCAAGTTGGAAAAGAACTAGCACGTAGTGGTCAGATCAAAACATGGCTTCATAAGTCAATGAAATCTTTGACATTTAGTTTAAAGCCAGACATCTATGGAGGTGTAGATAGTGGGTGATTGGTTAGGGTCTTCAGCATGGTAAGAACCAATTAAGGCTGGAGACCACTGGTCACATATGGCTCAAAATAGTTCTCAATGACTCTGGGTTCAGATGCATTCACTTCCTGTGATCTGTCATATCCAAAATGAACCCTAACTTGTAAAAAAAACAAGTTATTATTCTATCTGTGTCACATTTCTGCTTTTTATATTGTTCCTCCCAATCGCTTATTTTCTTTTTTGTCTTCCTTTGTGTTCTTCATGGAGTGTGGAGACTCGAACTGTTGCACCTGTGTGCAAAGTTCACTGTTGAAACCAATCAGTCAATATACTCCCATCAAGTATATTCTTCATTTCATTGTCAACAACCTTACATCATACGTTTACTCAATAAATATAATGTTATGTAATGTTGAGTAGTAGTAGAGGCGAGATATAATTCAATCTATGTTACCTGAAATCTTTAATCACTGATTTATTATACCACCTTGTAAAATAATCTTCCGTACGTTCATAGACTGTAACACGACACGTATACACACACTTTATGAGTTCATGGACTAACAAGACGTCATTAAAAGATTAAACCTTTTGATATAAGTATAAAACTGTGGTAGAGTATAATTCCATTATGGATAAGATTTTATTGTGATAAGTCACACAGTGTTACACAGTAATATTAACTGATGACGCTTCGAGCACAAATTATTACTGCTCATAATCCTATCAAGTTACTCACAACTTTTTACTTCATTTATATACATGTGTGGAATTGACTAGACATTTGAATAAAAATCAATATTGGATAATGTACATTCAGAAATAATAATATGAGTGTTATTCATCAATTACAATCAGATGGGAAAAAAGACGAGTGCTTTTATAGTCATAATAAGTAACTTGTTAGGATGTTGTGATGTGCTTAATTGAAATAGAATTTTAAGATTATTTATTATCCTCTTCTGATTTGACTGACTGGTGGTAATAATATCTTCCATACATATCTCTGGTATTTGCATTGAGTCACTTCTGTTGCATGTGTTGGGTGTTGGTAGACCCGATGAATCAGGATTCAGTAATCAACATCTGTCTCTACTACCTAGATTACTTTTTAGAATTTTGACTCTGTCCCACCTAACTTACTGTTTGGTTGTGTTATTGCATGCAGTGCAATTGCTGAGCTTTTTCTAAATTACTAATCTTCGTAAGATCAATCATTCTAACCCTAGCTAAATTCTTGTGCTCTAATAATCTGACTACCCCTGACCTACATAGGTCAGTGAAACTAGTAGGTCGGGGGTAATCAGATTGTCGGAACATAAGAATTTGGTCAAGGCAAGAATGGCTGACCCCGAGAAGATAAGTAATTTAGAAAAAAGCCCAGGAATTGCACTACATGTATTAACACCTTAACACACAACCACACACTAGGGTGGGAGATGGTGAAGATTCTAAGAAGTAATCTATGTAGGTGGAGAAAGAGATTGATCACTGAATCCTGGTTAATTGAATCTACAACCAACACATGCAACAGAAATCATTCAATGCAAATACCAGAGATATGTATGGAAGATATTATTACCAGTCAAATCAGAGGGGGATAATGAATAATCTTAAAATTCTATTTCAGTTCAAACACATCACAACATTCTAACAAGTTACTTATTATGATTATAAAAACACTCGTCTTATTTCCCATCTGATTGTAATAGATCAATATCACTCATATTATTATTATTATTTCTGAATATACATTATCCCATATTGATTTTTATTCAAATATCTAGTCAATTCCACACATGTGTATAAATGAAGGAAAAAAAGTTGTGTGAGTGGGTGACTTGATATGATTATGAGCGGTAATAATTTGTGCTCGAAACGTCCTCAGTTAATATAACTGTACAACACTGTGTGATTTATCAAAATAAAATCTTATCCATAATGGAATTATACCTTTTGTTTCTTAGCAAAAATGTATCTCTACCGTTCATTGCAATCACTAGTGAGTCTTATTTATAAAACAATCATCCAGTGTTAATTTGTAGGGATTTAATTGGTTATAAGCTAACATCAGTTAGAAAGAGTACTGGTTAACAAATTTACAAGTATTGGCTTTTTGTAGGGATTTGTTTGATTGATTGGAGGATTTTATCATGAGCTGACATCCCTACAAAAAACCAAGACTTGAAAATTAATCTGATGCTCACTAGCAACTGGCCCTATTCAGGTAGCTAGCCTGGGGTCTTAGTGGGAAGCCGTGACCAGTAGGGTACAGCAGGTCGAAGGTGAGGACGGTTACTCATCATATAAGATATTTCTAAGTGGTCACGCTATGTCGTGAACTGGCAAAGTTGGAATTCATGAGTTGGTCATCGGATAGGGTTCCATTAGCTGAGTGGTCTACGAGCTCGCTAGTCTTGTAATCCAAAGGTCCTAGGTTGAAACTCTGGCGGTGGGTGGGTACTGATGAAGAGTCCCGAACTAGAACGAAACAGCTGTACAGTACTCCCAGGTTTCACAAATTGACAGAAGTTAAAATTCACGGGTCGTAGGGTCAGTTCCTAGTGAATAGCTGAATGGATGGTCCACAAACTCACCTTCTATACCGTGGGTGGGGGTTGTAAAACGGACGGGTGCGTACGGTTGATGGTGATAACGAAGTAGAGCTGTCCAGTATTCCCTGTCTTGCAAATAGTTCTCTAACTGACGTCACCTCAATGATCAGACCTATAAAACAATCAGTGTATTTACACTTCTATGTAGCGGACGTACTTAAATTACCTGACCATATTACTACTGTACTCTCTGTAGACTCAGAAAATCTTCAATTAAAGGTCGAAGCATGTGTGCATTCTGCCTTTTCAACTTGATCTCATCTAATGTGAGATTTTGATTTAGTGATGCAAGATGGTAGAATATTGTGTCTAGACTGTGTTTATCCTTTCCAAATAAAACTTTGTGGTCTCTCTTTGAAGGTGTTCGTTAATGGAGCTCATGCCTTTGGGATCGCGTAATAAGTTTTAATTGTTGACCACAACATGTAAGAATCTGAAATTCACCTATATTTCACTAAACCTTAGTTTTATCATCTTGTTATGATGATCTGTCAGAGGTATCATGGAAGGAGTATTATTATTATTATTCATCCTATGGATTCTATGTAGAACAATGCTTCAGTGGTACATCGTCAAGTCACTCTGTTCTTCGCCGTCATTTCCAGCCGACAACACAGTTTTCCATAAGCTTTCATTTCCTCTGCACACAGTCTCCTCTATATCACACTTGGATACCCAACTTGTCGCTTCCCATTCTGGTTCCATTCTAGGGTCTGGCATGCGATGTCGTTAAAGGGTCTCAGTCAATAGACACATCCAGGTAAACAAAATTTACCAACAGATAAGGAGATCTTACACACTAAGGGTCAAAGTTCAAGTCAAGGAAACAATCAATTCCAATACAAGTAGCCTAGAAGGTGGGGAAACGCACAAAAACAGCCAATCAGGACGTTGTTCAGGGTCACCCACCAGGAGAGATGACTGATAAACTCGTGGAGAAATCTAAAAGCTCACTTCATCGAATGCGCTGAGGATGCTACCTAGTAGGGGGCGATGAAAGCTTCACAACTATAAACCATCCAGTTCAGTGAACACAACCACATCGAAATCATCCACCTGAGCTACAAATCTTCTCCATCATATCTAGGTCTCAGTGGAAGTTGACTCCACCTGCATTTCTTTCTGTACTACTTGGTTGTTGCGTTTATCCTTTTCGGAAGGTCATCTGATCTGCAGTATCGAGAGAAAGCAGCTGTTGATATAAGTCTTCAGCCGACTGGAAATCCTTTTGATAACGTGCGTGTAATTTCTTTTTAACCTTATGAAAAGCAATGACTAAGTGGACACTAGTGTCGAAAATTCGGATCTTGTTTCTCGTGCTGAGTTGTGCTAGTTTCCACACTGATACCAGACAACTAAATGCTTGTTTTGCTTTCCCGATCCGGTTCTTTTGTTAAATAATAATATTGAAAAGTTGATTTGTAAGAATTTCATTTGTTTTTCAAGTTTAACCACAGACTGATATCAGTAAGAGAACCATTGAAAACCAGCCACAGGGAGTACTGGATAGCCAGCTGTTTCGTCCTAGTTTTGTGGCTCATCAGCAGCACACACTTGCTGGAACCATTGGGATATCTGAGACAAATACTCGCCGATGAAACTGGCTAGTGCTCACACTATGTATATCATAAATTGGTAGAAGTTAGAATTCATGGGCTAACCATCCAATCGAGTCCCAGTGGCTGAATGGTACACGAGCTTGTCTTGTAACCGGAATATCCTGGGTTCGAGCCCCGTTGGCGGTTGCGTACTGGTGACGATTCCCAAACTAGGATGAAACAACTATCCAGTACTCCTTGTTGGTTTCCAATGATCCTCTAATTGAAATCAATCCGTGATCAAATACTATAAATAATAACAATTGCTTTATCCCGGACGTTGTTTGTATGATGTACAGAATTTCCACCGGGATTTACTGTATAATATATCCTCTTTGTCCAGGATCTTCAAATGACATAATGATATACAATAGATCCTATGACACACAATACTGTTTGACCTGAAGCGCAAACCGATCCACTATGACATATCTTCTTTGTTTCCATAGAGGAATGCTCAACATTTGCTTGAAAACTAATTGTAAAATTTTCAGGAGTACATTTGAAGACCCGATAACATAACACTCAGCATCAGTTGTCTCACACACACTGGGATACGCTGCCCCCTCCCCCCACCACACACAATTACGCTTTTTCTCAGGTTTAGTAGAAAATTGCAGCTTTGTAGACTCTTTAAATACTCACGGGAGTAAATAATACCATTAGAAATCATATTTTAATCAATTAAAACAAAGTGAACAGAAGAAATTATGCATACAAATTGATAAGGGAGGTTTTTGGTAGCCTAAGTTTTAAGCGAGGCCGCTTTGGCATCCTCATCCCTACCTCCTGTAGTCGAAGTGATGCCGGAATTATTAATTCACTTACGCTTCCTATGAATGTCTGCTTCCAAGCTTGATTGAATTGAATTTGAGATTTTCCCGTCGATTGGTTGGACCGAAGTGCTCTGTCTCAGGTTGACATGCCGGCTACTTGTGCAGATGCTTCGACTATATCTGGACATTTAATTAGAATTTAATTTGTGGATGGTGACTAAGGGCACTGGGTTCGAGCCTCGGTGGGAACATCATCACTCACTGGGAAATGCAGGTACATCCATCTGACGAGTCCCGAATAGGACGAAATGCGCATCCTGGTTTGATTCCACTGCTAATCACCATCCACAAATTAAATGCTTGATTTCATTACTTCAATGTCTTCTCAAATTCAAAATTTCGTTAATGTGAAATTGACATGAGTTTACTTGTGTTTTAAAACAAAATACAATATACAGTCTTTCCTGTTGGCTACACTTTTGATTGTCGGATCAATATTTTGGCCAACAACCGGTCTTCTTATCATCAATTCAAGATCAACAGAACTTGCTGATCATAAAGTAAGTTAATTTATATTTTTTTCAAATATTAGGTTTTGTAAGGATTTTGGTTAGTTTCAATGTTTATTTCGTTATTTATTATCATTTGTATTTCATTCCTTCGCGTTCCGAGTGGAACATACAGGGCTTCAAGCTAGAACTTTGGAGTTTTTAGTAGAAGTAGTTATATTTCTACTTGGTGGAGTTGCCAGCCTCGCGCCTCCCAACACCCCATCTTTACTGGCCTTACTACGAGCTTAGCGAGGTTTAGGAGTTCGTTGGCCAATGATAGAACCCCGAAGCATTTGTGATCGGCTTATCTCTGAGCCGCCGTCAGGAATCAACATCATTTTCAGCGGATCATTGAGAACAACGGACGACTGGCTGGACAGCTGTTTGTTCCTAGTTTGGCATACTTCTGCAATGTGCACCTACAACTCCAGCATGGATCGAGTCCGTGAACACCACAACTCAACCACTTCAGGATGTTCATGAGTGTACAGTGTTGAAGAGTCCCAAACGAAGACAGAATAGGGGTCCAGTGTCTTTCGATTTTAACTGATTTTAAAGTAAACTTCGTCACAAACCAACGCCAGTTACAGAAATCACTCACCCCTGATGAGGTCGTAGGTGAGTACTGCAGAAGGGTCCCAAATTAGGACGAAACAGCTGTCCAGTACTCACTGGAGTTCAATAATTTTCTCTAACTGATATTGGTTTTTGACGAAATTTACATTGAAATCAATTCAGATCCTTGCAGAACTTATCATCTGATAACATCATCAATAAGAGGCTTTGGATATTAATAATAATAGTATATTCTCATTTTTGTACATGAGGGACGCCAGTTTACAGACGTCATCAATTCGATATTGCAAGGATTTTAAGTTTAAAACCTACACCAACATACACTGGCCGACTGGCTGACGGGTTTCAATATAGAACTTTTCACAAATGTGCAACAGTTTTGGGTTGCCACATTCAATGAAGTACAACAAAGAAGACAAAAGAGAAAAAAGGAGATTCGGAAGAACGATAATAAGCAGAAATAGATAGAATATTTTCAAGTATTGGTTTGTAGGGATATTGTTTGATTTGGTTGGAGGATTTCATCATGAGCTGACATCAGTTTGAGAACCATTGGAAAACCTGGGAGTATGGTACAGCTGTTTCGTTCTAGTTTGGGACTCTTCATCAGTACCTACCTGCTGCCAGAGTTCGAACCTAGGACCTCCCGGTTACAAGGCTAGCGAGCTCGTAGACCATTCAGCCACTGGGACCCAATCCAATGGCCAACTCATGATTTTCAACTTCTGCCAATTCACAACATAGCGTGACCACTTCTCAATGTCTTGTACGATGAGTAACCGTCCTCACCTTCGACCTGCTGTAACCTACTGGTCACGGCTTCCCACTAGAACCAGCCCAGGTAACTGCCTGAATAGGTCTAGTGGCCAGTGAGCATAATTTGTTTTGGATGTTATATCAGCCCTAATGTACTCATCGATGGATTGCTGACATAATCTCAGCACGCATACAAAGGGCTCGTGTGGGATTGGTTAACTCATGTCATCTCTGCTGTGGAGGTGATATTCGGCCGGCCATCGATTAAAAGACGTATGTACTGTTCGGTAGTTCACTCTGTCCTCTTCCATGGCTGTGCGCGAGATATGGTAGCCATTGAAAGTGAAAGGTATGAAAATCTTTATTATTTAGCATACATAGAAACGTATGAAAAGGCTGATAGTCTTTGACCACAGATGCTAACCTTCTGTCTTCCATGTTAACTGTTATGATATAGGATGCAATCTTAGGCATAGGCGTAGAATGCTAGATAAGGAGGGTAAGTCAATCGGTGGGTTTTGTGAAGCTACACCGATTGAGATCGCTGCGATACATGTTGCACATGTTGAGCCATTGCCTTCCTCAATGAGCCATTCTTAGCTGACCTAAGACTAGATTGAAAATAATCTTCGGGTGGTCACATCAAAACCCGGAATTAATCTATGAAGTCTTTGACAGTTTAGTTTAGTCAAACTATCATTTAACATTGAAACGAAAGTTCTCGAGGTACAGCAGTAGTAGTAATCTGTCACTTTTGTTAGCCAGCAATTTCCCTGCATGATCGATAAGTTTCATGGAGGCCGGTGTGGCTGATATACGCTAAAACACTCAGTTTTCTGCTTGTTGGTCACGGGTTCTTGTCCCGTTTCACCTATGTGTCAGCCTGAGCGAGCAGCTAGGTGGTAGTATCATCAGCACAGTACGCGACCTGGTAAATGAAAGATCTCTCTTGGGACTGTTACTTTCAAACACCATCAATATCATTTAATTGAATTTTAGATTTTCCCGTCGATTGGTTGGGCCGAAGTGCTCAGGTCGGTCTCAGGTTGACATGTCGGCTTCTTGTGCAGATGCTTCAACGATGTCTGAGCAGGCACACTCAGATGACGAGTCCCAAACAGGATGAAATGCGCATCCTGGATTCCACTGCTAGTCACCATCCCCCACCAATTAACATCAATATCAATGAAGGAATACACGAAGGCTAGGTTTTGTTGTAGGGGGGGGGCCTTCAGCAGCCGACTGACTGACTGACTCTTTCTAACACTCATCTAACTCATCTCATTTAGTGTATTCATTCTAGAAATTCTTTAGTTAACACTGAGTTATTTCATATAATATAAAAAGTAGAGTTTTTTTGTCATTCTAACATATTTTAACTCTATAAAGAATTCTAAGTATTTTCACCTTTTCATATAAAATAATATTTTAATGAATAGGCCCTTGTCATTCTTCTATTACAAAATACACAACGCAACACAACACAATAAGATTTTGAGTCTTTTACAGTCACTGCACTCAGCAGGTTACCACCTTGAAAAAAGAGTGAGAAGAATTTTATATATTGGAATTTTTCACATTTTTGTAAAACAGTTATTTTAACTGAAAAAAAATGTGAGAATACAGAATTACACCATAAGATTACTCTTGACTGTCTAACATCTAGTTAGACTCTGTGATGAGACCACATGACCACGTGAAAAAAAAGACAAGTAATAGTTTACTGTGGAGATTAGTACACTTCTTAAAACTAGATGAATTTTTCAGCGTACAAAAATGCAAACTATGCAATCTATCACACTTGGTAAAGCACACATGAAAGGGAAAGGTATTGTTTTTGTTTTTTTTCCTTCACGTTCCCCAGTGGAACATAGGGCTTCAAGCTTGTGGCTTGAAGTTTCTGTAGCAGTGGTGTTTATTTTACAGGATGGGGTTGCTAGCCTCATGCCCAACCTTTCCTCTTCCTCAGCTTTATTTCTAGCTTAGCGAGGTAAAGGAGTGCGTCGGCTGAGGATCGAACCCCGGACCATGTGTATGGTCGGCGAGCGTCCTAACCGCTATACCACCGGTATTGGAGAATAGAGAATAATAAAGACGTTTAACAGGATATGCCAGATGACAAAGAGTGAATGCATCTGCACCAGCCACTGAGAACGATTTCCAGCCAGCCTTCATTGGTCCTTGCCATTCTGAGGATCCCAACCAGCCAGTCAGGAAGTCTACACCTCCCTACACGTGGCTGGCTTTAACTAGTTGTTATGGATTTCATGGACTGATGTAATGAAGCCATGTTTTGGTTTGACCACTAGGTAAGTGCTAGCTCTTTTCCAACCTGACCGACCCTATGTCAGTCAGTTAACATTGCTTGTCGTCAAAGAAGGCGGTGACTGGACATGTGTAACACTTGTCTTAGCTCCACTTTGATAAATCACACAGTGATGTTATACAGTAAGTAATATTTACTGATGATAACCACGTTTGCAACACCCAACGCATGCAATAGAAGTGACTCAACGCAGAGATATGTATGGAAGATATTATTACCACCAGTCAAATCAGAGGATAATAAATAATATCGTTAAAATGTATTCAATTCAATTCACATTATAACATTCTAACAAGTTATTTATTTTACCATAAAAAACATTTTATTTCCCATCCGATTGACTAACAACACTCGTTCCATTTCCCATCGTATTATATTTTACTGATAACACTAACATTCGTTCCGAATGTACTGTAACTTCCATTCTGTTTTACGCATGTCTTTTATTGATTTTATTCATATGTCTAATCGACTTTTACTCATGTGTATAAAGGAAGCAAGAAAGTTGTGTGAGTAATGCCTTGATATTATAATTATGAGCAGTAATAAATTTTCCTGGAAACCCTGGTTATCATCAGTAAATATATTCCTAACTGTATAACACCACTGTGTGAGCTAGGACAGGTGTTCCACATGTCAAGCTACCGCCTTCTTCGACAATAGGCAATGTTAGCTGATATAGGATCTTGGATCAGGTTGGAAAACAGCTAGCCCATGATGGTCAAACCAAAACAGTTGGTTTAAGCGATCCGTTTAGGGAGGTATAAGTATAAAACTTGGGCACTGTGGTAGAGTATAACTCCATTATGGATAAGATTTTATTTTGATAAGTCACACAGTGTTACACAGTAATATTAACTGATGACGTTTCGAGCACAAATTATTACTGCTCATAATCATATCAAGTTACTCACACAACTTTTTTCCTTCATTTATACACATGTGTGGAATCGACTAGATATTTGAATAAAAATCAGTATGGGATAATGTACATTCAGAAGCAATAATATGAGGGTTATTGATCAATTACAATCAGATGGGAAATAGGACGAGTGTTTTTATAGTTAAAATAAGTAACTTGTTAGAAAGTTGTGATGTGCTTGAATTGAAATAGAATTTTAAGATTATTTATTATCCTCCTCTGATTTGACTGTTGGTAATAATATCTTACATACATATCTCTTGTATTTGCATTAAGTCATTTCTGTTGTATGTGTTGGGTGTAGACTCAATGAACCAGGCAGGATTCAGTAATCAATCTCTCTCGCTCTCCACCTACATAGATTACTTCTTAGAATCTTAACCCTCTCCCACTCTATTGTGTGGTTGTGTGTTAATGCATGTAGTGCAGTGCAATTGCTGAGCTTTTTTGTAAATTACTTATCTTCTCAGGTGGGGTCAACCATTCTTGCCTTAGCCAAATTCTTATGTTCCGACAATCTGACTACCCCTGACCTACTAGTCTGACCTATGTAGTTGACTTAACTCACAGTCATTGCAGGGTATTTTGTAAATTATATTATTTTGTCTAATTGGGTCCACTGGGTCCTTTAACCTGCAGAGCTTGTCCCTGAGTGAGTTTGTAGGTTTAAATGCCACTCTAATTCCTGCTTTACTAAGAATCCTACGTAGGGTCTCAGAGGTCCCCTACTTATATGCTATAACAGTAGTTGCCTTATATCCTCTCTTATTTATGTTATCACTACTAGTTTCACAATTATTTTTATTTTGCTTTTTGGCCTTTTTCGATCTTCCTAATGAATTTTAGAGGGTAGTAATTTAAGGAGGTGTAGACTTCCTGACTGGCTGGTTTTGGGGTCCTTGGAATGACAAGAGCCAATGAAGGCTGGAGACAATTGGTGGTGACGATGTGGCTCGAAATCGTTTTCAGTGGCTGGCGCAGATGCATTCACAGTCTTTGTCATCTGGCGTATCCTATTGTCATTGTTCTCTATTCTCCGATACCTTTCAATTTTTTAATGTGTGCTCTAGACAGTGTGATCTATTGAGCTTGAACTTTGATCGCATCTGTGTTGTTTTTAAGCGCTTTTAATCTTCTCTTTTTTTCTTTTAGATTATTCGCTCTAGTTATCCAAATGATGAAATCCATTGTTTAATCGGTTATACGGATATTGGAGATGATAATAAGGATAACAATGGCAATAATAATAATAATAATCTGATAACGATTAGTAAACGGCTAACTGCCTATTTAAGTGATTATTTCTTACACTCTGGATTAAATCAAAATCCACCTTATTGGTGTGGTGAACAATATAATTGTACTAAATTAGTTTATGAAAAGATTAATCCTATATCACATTCTACATTATATCCTATAAATAATTATTATCTATTTATTGTTCAACGTGTATTCAATAACACCTATGGATATATGAGTTATGCGCCGCACTTTGCATTCATCTCACCAGGTAAGCGTGAGAGTAGAGATTATCACAATTGATTTATGCATTATAGTTATGTATATCTATCTATCTGAAAACGCCTAACATTCTACAGTGAGAGTTTACGGTGAGTTGTCATCTGAAGTGGTGACAACTAGTGGTGTCCGTCAGCGACGGATGCCCACTATCCCCGCTTCTATTCAATTTCATCAAAGATGTACTAATGGAATTAACCCTAAATGCTGACTTCAGCAACTCAAGGATTGACTTGTTACCATCAGGGAATAATCTCGTTGACTTAGAATATGCAGATGATATAGTCCTTCTAGGTGATTTGTTCATCTACACCTTAAACTTGCGTATGACCCCTAACATTCTAATTTAATGTGCATCGGTCTGGTCTCGTAATCCAGTGGATCCTGGTTTCGATCCCGGATCCAAGTATACGTACGTTCTGCTTTAGACTTCTGAACTAGGATGGAACAACAGTCCAGTACTTCCTGGTGTTCCATTGGTTTGTTTCAAAGGCTCTACAGGATCCTTTAACCGACAAAGCTTGTTTCTAATTGAGTTTTTGGGTTTGAATGCCAGCCACTTTTATTTCTGCCTTGTTAAGAATTCTCCGAGGTTCCTTCCTTGTATGCAATTACTACTGATGATTTAGATTCCTTATTGTTGGTGTTGTCATTATCTTACGCATGTTTGACATGCATGTCGTCATTATTATTATTATTATTATTGTTATTATTATTACTATTATTATTAGATCGAAATCCGTCTTACACACTTTCGTCAGTCTCAGTGACTGACTAGGTTGTATCGCGTTAACCCTACCTCATGGAATAATGATAATAATTACGACTCGAATCGCAGTATGTGATTTCAACTAGCTTATCGATAATAATGATAATAATAATTTATAACTTGCTCAACATTTCTTTGTTTGTCACGTGTTCTTTGTATTTTTTCCTATTTCAACTTCTTGAAAATACACTTTTTAGATACTGCAGTTGACGTCTATCTTTCATTAAAACAATTGGTCGATGAATTCTTCATGGAGGTAAGTTAGGTGAAATACAGAAAACTGTTTTTACTCTTTACTGATAGGTGTGTAGGATTATTATTATTATTTGTCAATGTTTTGTATGCTGTTTCTAATAATAAAACCCTACTCAAAGTTCTGCTGAAGAAGCCTTGGCTTACATAGCAAAAAGCATCCAAAAATATAGTTCTGTTTTGATTTTCTAAACATGTTAGGATTACTAATACTAATGCCTATTGTGCTTGACGTTTTTAGTTGTACTCTTACCGATTGAACTTAGTGCTATATCTACGCTAAAAATGACGTCGTCCTCAGGCTACACACAAAGTACTGGTTGTTTTAGGCGAATCTCCATAGCCTCTACTGTTTAAAGCATGCGGTACTTCGATGTTTTTGGCAATTTATTTGGCACCCGGTAGATGATGATAGAGAAGGATTTCTAAATGCTGGCTTTGTGGCCAGTTCGGACCAGGTGGTCTAATATCGAACTGTTGATGGTTTCTTACTACACATTTACTTAGCCATACTGGGAGATGTTAGCGAGTGAGCACGAAAATTCAAGTTCCTAAAGCAACGGCCGATATAACTCGCTGCGCCACAAGCGCAGTTGGATTGGTAGATACAATTGGAAGTGGCTAGTCTAGGAACTTCATCTTTCAGTCGAGGAATCACCATCGGTTGTGTAGGGAATAAGACGTGAAGTTCGCCAGCATTAAAAGTTCTTTGAACTGACTTTCTTAACTTCTTCGTAATTATTTTGCTAGGTATATCGCCTTTGAATTGCAGTCATGTGTATAGAGGCTTCCTGTTTACGGATAATGAGTAGTCCTTTTCCACTTTCTTTGTGATGTGTTTTTTGATAAATTTGTCTGGATAGCTATTTTCAATGAAGGTATCTCATATACAATGCTTAATTCATCTCCAATTACCTCTTATGAGCATATAGCTCTAACCCTGTGGTGGAGGAGGTTCCTTAATAAATTTATTTTATACTTGAGAGGAACGAAGCTATGAAAATATGTATTTTGTCCTGTCCATGTTCTTTCTCTTTATACTACCATCTGGTTTTCTTGTAAGAAGGACATCTAGGAAAGCAATTCTATTTTGGGATACCTCTTCGCACGTGAATTTCATAGCAGAATGTACTTCATTGAATTCAGTTATCATTGTGTTCCTATCGGAATCATGATCACGAAAAATAAAAGTGTCATCCATATACCGGGAATAAAATGAGAATTTTCTGATAAGGTTGTTGAGAGGTCCATTTTCTAGTTTACTTAGTAAGAAATCTGCCAAAATGGGACCCATTTGGAGCCCATCGCCACCCCTTCCAGTTGTCTGTAAAGTGTGCCATCGAATTTGAAATTTACATTCATAGTACACCTTAATAACAATTCTTTTAATATTTCTGTTGGGATACTAATATTTGTCGACTGGTTATACACTTGTTCACATATGTAGTTAACTGTTTCTACTAGAGGTACATTTGTGAATAAAGATGTTATGTTCAAATACATCATAGTTTTATCCTTGATATTCATATATCTTTGATTTTGTCTACGAATTCAAATACATCTTTGACGCTATATTTCACTACCTTCTCATGCAAAGGTTTGCGAATACATTTACTAACCATCTAGCTAGAGCATGGTAGGGCGAATTTTGCATATCAAGTATTAGTCTTAACGGTACCCCCGGTTAATTTACTTTTGGTAGGTTTTACAATCTTGGCGTATATGTGCCCGCTGGTCTGAGTGCTTAATGTAAACTCCCAGGAAATATACATGTTCTTCTTTTAGTTTCTTCAAACGTCTGGTTAATTTGTTCTCTACCTTGTTATTGAAATATTTCTTTTCCTCAAGTTTTTGAAACTTCTGTGTGTCTTTCTGAGCTGGTTCATTTAATTGCCGACTTTTTGTTGCTCCTGTAGACAACATCAATTCAGCTCCTGTCTCATATCGATATATTTGTAGATAATTACGGACACCAATTTGATGATTGGGATAATTGTAGAAATCTTAAATAGAAAAAACAAACAAACACCAAATGTAATGCCAGGGAATTTCTAGAACCCTGGTACCTAAATAAACCAGAGATCAAATTTACCAACTAATAAAAAGTAAGTCATCACATGACAAAAAAGTTCAAATTCCAAGTTAGTAAAAACGCTCAATAACAGTGTAAAGTTGTAACAATAGAAGGCAAGACATGGAAGCCAAGGTATACTTTTCATTAGTCAAACCGCTGTTTATATATCTACAATTTATATTGTTTAACTAATCACTGAGTTTGTAATTTCGGTTTACATCAAACGACATGAAATAGAATGTTCAAATATATATAGATAGTATTCTGTTGCCAATTCACTATTGAACTGTGGGAATAAGATTCCGACTCTAACATCAAATGGAATGTTCAAATCGATATATCTTATTACATAGTTGGAGGCAATCGGCCACAGGAAGCCTCGCCTAACCTAGGTTTCGTGCTAGTTGGCACTCATCAGTCAGTAAGGCGTATCTGCAACCTTGAAGGAACTCATGTCCCTTGTGAGATTCGAACCCGCGTCACCAGCCAGTGCCACCTGCAGTCAGAGATGTTACCACTGAGCTATTCAGGCTCATGATTGACCTCCTGTAGGACTGTATTGGATATTTTTGATTGCACACTAGTCAGTAACTAGTGTAATGCGTCTAGTCCTATATTTGCTGCTGACTGAATTCTATCAGACATGACATCCACTCCTTCATATCACTCACTGCATACAGACAATTGCGGACTTCAATTTGACTGGGACAACGTTCAAATGTTAGACAGAGGAAATATGAAGAATGCTAGAGAATTTTTAGAAGCCTGTCTGGTATTTCATTGAATCGTCAATCAACAGACACATCGAAATAGACAAAATAGATACATCGTATTCAAATAAGTTTATTTCATACTAAAATCTGCGCTGAAGTGATGTTGTCTAGATGGGGAACAGCGAAAGCTTCACAATTATATCCACCTGAGCTACAAATCTTCTCCATTATTTCAATATTGATGATTATATTTTATTGATTTTTATTTGTATACTTAGTAACATTCACGCAATATATTTCCTTCTGTTCTTTCTATCTCCTCTCCTCTCTGTCGGCATTACTTCACTTGCCTTCATTATCGATTTATTATCGTGGTGGTATGGTACGCTATGGCCTGGCAAATGTACTCATCCAAAAACAAACACCGCGCATCAAGTTACACAACAAACAGTCTAACAGGCAGTCAACTGGCAATGTGAAACATTTGTTAAACATAAGTGTTGTTGCACTGAAACGTTATGACTATTCTGAAATGATATTGAATCGTAAATTAGAAATATTTGGAAAACGTTTCATCATTATCCTGATGTCAGTGCATAAGTATTTAGCTGTTGCATGTATGACAATCTGTTATTGTACTATTATGTGTTCAGATAAAGAGACTGGTTTTCGTTCATTAATGGCACTGATGGGTTTACGTCGACTATCGTTTATCTTATCACATTTTATATTATGTCAAGGTAAATATTGATTTATTATTATTATTGTATTGTATTGTTCATTGTTCTACTGTGTTTATGGATGTTACTGTGAGGTTATTTTTTTCACAAGCTGTTCTACCTGACTTATTGATACATAGTCAGCATACAAGTAGAGTGACAATTATACATATCATCCAACAGTTGTACGACAATGCTGCATGCCAAGTAATCCACAAAGGGAAACTTACGGAATCCTTCGAAGTGAAGACAGGAGTTAGGCAAGGCTGCCTACTATCGTCAATGATTTTCCTGATTGCAGTAGATTGGATAATGCGACAAACAGCGGGCAATGAGGAAACAGGCATAAAATGGAATCACACAAAAAAACTTGGAGGATATGGACTTCGCCGATGATCTATGTCTGATTTCCCACAAACTGGAAAATATGCAAGTGAAAAGCAACAAGTTGACAGAAGAAGCATCAAAGATAGGACTTCAGGTGAACATAGAGAAAACAGAGGTGATGAAGATTCCTGGGCAACACCACCAACAGCAGCAACAACAACAACAAACAAGAATCAGCATAAATGGAAGGAACCTGAAAGAAACAACCTCCTTTACCTACCTCGGAAGCATCGTTTCAACTACAGGTGGGCGGAACTGACGAGGATATCAAAGCAAGAATCCGCAAAGCAAGGCAAGCTTTCATTACTCTCAAGTCTGTGCGGAGGTCAACAACTCTCAGCATCAAAAATAACATCCAGATTTTCAACTCCAATGTGAAGTCAGTTCTACTATACGGGTCATAAAGAGCACCTCAAACAAACTACAGAACTTCATTAACAGTTGTCTTCGCTCAGTACTACTCAAGATTAGATGGCCGACCAGAAAAGATCAGCAACAGAGATCTCTGGCAGTGAGCGAACCAACCAGGAACCGATTGTGAAACAAATAGGCAGGAAGAAATGGAGATGGATTGGCTGGCCATACTCTGAGGAAACCATCAAGTGACATCACTAGACAAGCCATTGCTTGAGTGGAACCCGAAAGGGAAGCGGCGAGTTTTTCGTCAGTGCAAGGGTGACTTGGAGGAGGTCATGTGAAGAGGAGATGAGAACGTGTGGGCAGACATGGAGCCAGGTGAAGACTCTAGCAGAGAACCGAACGCAATGGAGACGTGTGATTGAAGCCCTATGTTCCTCTAGGAATTAAAGGATACAATAATAATAATAATAATACAAGTAGGGTAGTTCAAGTTGCCACATTCCATGCGGCTCAGACAAACTGCCAAAGTCTTCATAGATTGATTCCATGTTTTAGATTGACCACTTCCAACTGTCCTCCAGCGTAATCTTATGTCGGCTAACATTCACCGTCGAGAAAGGTCCTACCATATATATGAAGGACATCTCAGAAATAAATCGCTGCAAGACTATTCAAACCTTGATGAGGAATTGACCTCGCACACAAACCAACAAAATCACTTCACTCATCTGGTTCTATATGAACACAAAAAAACAACTCAACAACGAAAGAAGATAAAACCATCATCATCTACGAAATATCAATTGTAACAACTGCGAAAAACACTATATTGGCTAAAGTGGACGACGTCCCCTCCCCTTCGTCTTCGTATCCATGAGCATAAACTAGCCGTCAAAAGACGTCATGACATCCACTCCTTCATATCACTCACTGCATACAGACAACCGTGAACTTCACTTTGACTGGGACAACGGTCAAATGTTAGACAGAGTAAAAATCAAGAATGCTAGAGAATTTTTAGAAATCTGTCTGGTATTTCACTGAATCGTTAATCAATAGACACATCGAAATAGACAAAATATACCAACCGATGAGAAGGAAATCTCACACACACACAAAGGGTCAAAGTTCAAGTCAAGGAAACAATCAGTTCCAATATAAGTAGCTTAGAAAGTTTGAAAACACACAAAAACAACCAATCAGGACATTGTCCAAGGTCACCCACCAAGAGAGATGACTAATAAACTCGTGGAGAAATCTAAAAGCTCACTTCAACGAATTGAAGTGTATGCACTGAAGATGCTGCCTAGTAGGGGGCAGTGAAAGCTTCGCAAATAACCTATCCAGCTCAGAGAACATAACCAATGGTTAGGCATGCATAACGCATATCTGTCTTAGCCACCTCTACCGATGTAGCTTCACGTACTCTGCTTACCTAACACTGTACACCTAACTTCAATATTACTCACCGTATTATACCACTTAACACGTGAGACTGAAAGTAAACATCTGTAGTCAAAGACAGCTGCCCTCTTCATATTTTCTACTTTCAATGAGGAAAGCGAACTTCTGCTCTGTACACACGTCCTTTGACCGATGGTCAACCGGATACCACATGTACATCAGAGATGATGTAAGTTGACAAATCCCATGTGAGCACTAACTTCTAGCATAGAGATAGAGAGTGAATTGCTTGAGTGTGTCGCCCACTTCGCTTATTTGACAAATTACATCAGCCTCAATGCACTGACTGATTGCTGAGAAAATTTCACCACGAATACATATACAAAGGTCTTTATTTAGTATTTAACAACATCTACGTCACCCTTCCACTGTAGATTTGATATCCAATTATCGATCAAAGGATATGTGTACTGCTCAGATGGTCCGCTCTCTCCTCCTTTATGTTGGCTATGAAGCATGGGGTGATTGAAAATGGAAGATATATGAAAAGACTAGTTATCTTTAACCGTAAATGTTTGCATTCTATCTACCATGTTAATTGGTATGATATGATGAGCAATATTGAAGTTAGGTGTAGGTTGTTAGGTTAAAAGAGAAATCCAATCGAGTTGAGTGCATAGAATGAGATCGCTACGACAAGCCATTGTCTGACTCATCAAATAATGCCAACTGACATAGAATTAGGTCGGGAAAAGAGTTAATGGTGGTGGGATCAAAACGTAACACCAATCCATGAAGTCTTTACCGCTACGAATAAATCAATGTCTGGGGAATGTTGGTGGTATATATGTCTTAATATCGTTCTCAATGGTACAGATTCAACCGCAGTTTGTCATCTCTCATATGCATTAAATTATCACTATTCTCCATGTAATTATGTGTACTCTTGTTATTCAAATTTATTTTATTTCTTTACTTTCCCAGTGGAACATAAGGTACCTTCAAGCTAGAACTTTGAAGTTGCGGTAGCACTGGTTGTATTCTCTTGTACGGGGTGGGGTTGCTAGCTAGCCTCATGCCCAACCTTCCCTCTTGACCAATCATCTTATTACTAGCTAAGCAAGGTAAAAAGGAGTGCGTCGGTGGCCGATAATCGATCCCCGAACCACGTGTGTTGTAGTTGGGGAGTATTCTACCGCTGTGCCACAGACGCACAAGCCAGCTCCTCCTCTGGGAATCGAACCCGGGCCTTCCACGTGACAGGTGGAGATGCTCACCACTCTACTATCAATGAGTGTACTTTTGTGTTGTGTGGCAATTAATTAGAACTGATTCACTTTTGAGTTAAGAAATTCAGTTCATATATATATATATATATATATATATACGCTATTCTTTGTGAAAAATTTCACTCTATACTCTGTAAACAAAAAACATACATAATTTATTGACATTATTCTTTGTTGTTTTCGTATCTACATTGTTATTTTAAAACGATAATAATGATAATGATAAATGTGAGATTGCAATTTTGAAAAACAACTTTCAGAGATTAGATACAATACAACGATAACAAAAACAAGAACAAAAAATACATCGTAAACTCAAAACTTTTATTATATTGATGTGTGTGTTTATAGCCTACTGACTTTCTTACAATCAGTAAATAGAAGGATTAGACCACGAATTGATATCAGTTAGAGAACCATTGGAAACCAACAAGGAATACTGGACAGCTGTTTCATTCCAGTATGGGACCCATCAGCATTATGCACCCACCGCTAGGGTTGAAACCCAGAACATTCCGGTCACAAGGTGAGCTCGTATACGATTCAACCACTGCTGGGACCCGACTCCTCAATGGCCAGCCCATGAATTCTAACTTCTACCAAATCGTGATTTTAGCACTACCATCACTAGTGACTGGCTACAGAACGAGGTTGTCTGGAGTCCTAGTGAGACCAGTGGGGTCCATTCAGTCGGGAGTGAGAATGGATTTCCAGCCGATAACACTGATTGGTGTTCACACTAAAATCACGAATCGGTAGAAATTAGAATTCGTGGGCTGGCCATTGAGGAGTCGCGTCTCAGTGGCTGGATGGTATACGAACTTGTCTTGTAACCGGAAGGTCCTGGGTTCGAACCCCGCTGGTGACTGCATAATGCCGGTGATTCCCAAAGTAGGATGAAACAGGTAATCCTTGTTGGTTTTCAATGGTTCTCTAACAGATATCGATCCTCGGTCTAACCTGAAAGAAATACAATCCCTACTAAAAAGGGTATGTCAAATCATAATCTCAATCTTCAGTTGACACAGTTCAAAGAGAGATTTCACCACAGTCACCTCCTCCTTCTCTACTGGAAATCGAAATTATTCAAATTACTCACATTCGGTATGTCTGAGTAGCATATTTATCACTTCTGCCCTGTGACACAGCAGCAGGAAGCGCGGTCGTTGTTAATCCGGGCCCCGACCGATCTGGCATGATATTTTGTGATTTACATAAGTCTCAGCCAGTATAGCTTGTTGGGTCATTGCAGTGTTCAAGCCCGACCACCACGTCAAGGTAGCAGCTTTCGGTCGGGTCGAGGGAAAATCAATCGAAGAGGCTATAAGGTTACATAGATTGAGATGGCTAGGTCACGTGCTGCGCATGCCTAACCATCGCCTCCCCCTCCCGATGGGCATTACTAGCTGATATAGATAGGTGCAGGTTGGAAAAGAGTAAGTGGTGGCCAAACAAAAACATGGCCTCATCAATCCATGAAATCCTTGACAGCTAAATTGAGTCAGGTAGGGAGATGCAGACTTCCGGATTGGGGCCCCGCCCTGGGGACTCTAAGAATCAATGGCTGGAGACAATAGGTGACATGGCTCAAAATCGTTGTCAATGGCTTACGCAGATGTATTCAGTCTCTGTAATCTTTCATATTCCTTTCTACCATTACTCATTCTGTTTCACTCTTATACTTGTCAAAACTCTATTGATTCTCTTCACTCATCTTCTTGTCTACGTTTCTGTGGTATTTGGAACGTAGCAACTCAAACTGCTGCACTTCGGTGCCAAGTTCTATGCTGAATCCAGACAGACAAATCACTCACAATATGTATTTGATACTACCATAAATGGTAATCAAGAAAGCAAGCAGAACTGCGTGAAATTATATACTACTACTACTGGTTGGTTGAAATGAGTAGCTGTATACCTCCCCCCCGCACACACACACACATCAACCAGTAGTGCTTGCTAGTCTGTGAGATCAAAGTGATCTTACCGCCGCCGACACATTGTAAATTTCAAATCTCTAATCCATTTGCAAACTGAGGATTTTGATCGAAGGAACTACCAGTTCGCCGAACCGGGTAGCTGAAAATTGAGTAGTTTGACCTTTTTTGTTCAGATTCCGTCGATCTGATTGATTGGTTGGTTGGTTGGCCGACAAGCACTACTGGTTGATGTGAGTGGTGTTTAACTACTCAATGCAATCAGTCAGTAGTATACAAGTGACAAAATATGTATAATACTTATGTAATCAAATATTTATTTTGTACAGAAGTCTATGTGTTTCGTGAATTAACGTCCTACAGATTGGCTTAAGAGAGCCAGTTATTGTTGCTACATAAAGCTCTTAGTTTCACCTAAATCTCACAGCCTTTTGTACAAACACGTTTCGAGTGGATTATGGACAAGTAGACCAGATAATCTCATCTTGATTTAATTAGAGTTAAGCATTTCTCATCAAAATTTAAGTCTTTTGTGTGTTGAAAATCATGTATTGATGGAGAGCCGGATTAGATTGTATTTTCTTTTGTGCATTTGTGCATTCGTATAACATAATCATCGACTTATATGCCTAGAAATGAACAAGAAGAGATTCAGCTTTCAGTTCAATATTTCAAATAATACGTTCTCTTTCGGATTATGACTTTAATTGGTAGGTATATGTGTATGCGTGTATATAGTCACGAACTGACATCCTTGAACACTTAGGTGCACCGGATAGCTTTTGCGTCCTGGTTCGGGACATTCATCACTCTATTGGAGATTGAACCAGTAATATTCATGCTACTAGGCCCTAGATGTGCACTAGTGATAAGTGCCAAGCTAAGATGTAACAAGAGTCCAGTTATCCCTGGTTTTCAATTATCATTATTCCCTTGAGATCTGAGAGGGCTTCAGCAAAACACCTCCATTTCATCCTATTCTCCACAGTCCTTGGTAGCTTCTCCAATTCTACCTTTAACGTATTTATCTGTGCCCCGTGTAAGTGAGGAAGGTGACTTCCTTCGAATTTCTCCCAATGATGGTGATCGGTGTCTGTTGTTGTTGTTTGTTAGGTATCTTCACCACCTCCATCTTCTCTATGTTGACTTGAAGTACTGTCTTTGCTACCTGCCTCCTCTGCCAACCTGTTGGTTTTCGCCAGTTAGTCTTCGAGTTTGCCCGACATTACACATAAGTCATCCGTGAAATCCAGGTCTTCTAGAGTCTTGTTAATCGGTTCAGCGTATTCCTGTCTTCTTGCTACCCACAGTTTAACGCATAACCCAGTTCCCCATAATCAGGAATATCACGGGTGATGGTGGGGCAGTGTTATATAATTGCAGTCTTCACTTCGCCGAGTTCTCCCCCCCCCCGGTGAATCACTTGACATATGGCATGATCATACGGCAGCTGTTGAATGAAGTCGATAAAGATTTGCAGCACTCCGTAGTTTTCTAGCGAATTTCAAATTACTTCACAGTCAACTCTGTTGAAGACTTTTTCAAAGTCGATGAAGTTGAGGTTTTAGAGATGAATGCCATTCTATAGTTTACAATTCTGTCCAAACATAATTTAACATTTCCTGAATCCAGCTTGTTCCTGGTGGCATCTTGTATCCGAAACATATCTTAGTCTCTCCAGGATGACACAATTTAAAATTTCTCACTGAATGATATTGTTGCTTGCGAAAATTTTGTTTATAACTTATGTTCCGTACACATTCAGTCGATATTGTGATGTGTTGGGCGTCGGAGGGTAACCTGGAGTAGATGAGTGATCGTGGGGCCAGCTAGAAAGGACCTCAGAGAACAGGACAACGTGGAGATGTGCTTTTGAAGCCCTACATTCCACTCAGAAACCCAATGGAATGATAATAACACTAATAAGAGTCGATTAGGTACTCTTATTTCTGTACTTTAATCCAGTCAAGTCACACAATGTTCTTCTCTATTTGTTTTTCTTTTCCCAGTATCGGTAATCATCTTCTCTGGTATGTCAACATTAATCGATTATTTGTTCAGCTCAAATTTAACGGATAAAGACATTACAAACAAAGACCATTGGTTATTATTTGCAGTGAATATTATAGCTAGTTGGCATCAATTTGGTCTTGCTCTTATTCTCTCATCAATATCACATTCAACAAAGTATTTTTTATTCCCCTTATTAACTGTATTCGCTATACTGGTCACTTTTCAATTGATTATAAGTCATAAAGCATCAAATGTTCAGTAAGTTGTTGTTCTTGTTGACGATGATGATGATGATGTTGAATGTTTTAAACAAGTTTACTTTTTTCAAGTAGTAGTTTTGTAGGGATTTTGTTTGATTGCATGAGCTGACAGTAGTTAGAGAGAACCACTGGAAAACCTGTGAGTACTTGACAGCTGTTTCGTCCTAGTTTGGGACTCTTCATCAGTGCACAGGTTGAAGATGAGGTAGTAACTCATCGAAGAAGACATTGTGAAGTGATCGTGCTATGTCGTGAATTATCAGAAGTTAGAATTCATGGGATATTGGATCGGGTCCCAGTGGCTCAATGGTTTACGAGCTCGTTAGCCTTGTTACCAGAAGGTCCTGGTTTCGAACCCCAGCGGGGTGGGTGCGTACTGATGAAGAGTCCCGAACTAGCATGAAATAGCTCGCTGTCCAGTACTCCCAGGTTTTCCAGTGGTTCTCTGACCGATGTCAGCTCATGATGAAATTCTCCATGCAACTTTACTTTTATCATTTTTTCTTCTTGAACTATGAAAGTATATAATACTGTTTAACTGAGATATAAGTAGTTGAAAATCACACACGTAGTGCTTACTAACTAGCTAGCTGGCTAAACAGATGGAAGTGTGGTCTAATCACTGAACCGTCATTTGGCGTCGAGCTCATCAGAGTGATGTACTTGGTGTGACTCAGTTCAAAGAAGCTGGATCAGTTCAAACCACCTGATCTCTGGTCTAGGTATTTGAGCTAGCTGATAATACTTCGAAATTTGAATAACTTCTGTATCAAAAGGGGGAAACTGTGAAACTGAAATTTCACCCATAAAATTGTGTAAATTTTCAAGTATTAGTTTTGTTGGGATTTCTTTTTTGATTGGTTGGAGGATTTCATCATCAAGTGACACCATTGGAAAACCTGCAAGGAGTACTGAACAGCCAGCTGTTTCATCAGCCTAGTTCAGGACTCGTCGTCTGTACGCACCATCCATAGGGGTTCGGACCCAGGACCTGGTTACAATGCGAGCTCGTTTTCTCTAAATGATGTCAAGTCATGACGAAATCCTCCATGCAATCAAACAAAATCCCTACAAAACCATTACTAGAAAATTGATATGACGCTCACTAGCGACTGGCCCTATTCAGGCAGTTACTTGGGGTTCTAGTGGAAAGCCGTGACCAGTAGGGTGCAATAGATCGAAAGTGAGGACAGTTACTCATCGAAGAAAACATTGCTAATTGGTCTTAGTACGTCATGAATTAGCAAAAGTTAGAATTTATGGGTTGGCCATTGGACCGGGTTCCAGTAGCTGAGTGGTCTACGAGCTCGCTAGCCTTGTAACCAGAAGGTCCTGGTTTCGAACCCATGCGATGGGTGTGTATTGTGAGGAGTCCTAAACTAGACTAACGAATACTGGCTGTCCAGCACTCCCTGTGGCTGGTTTTTCAATGCTCGTCTAACTGGTGTCAGCTGATGATGGAATCCTCCAACCAATCACTATTTGGTCTGACGAATATAGTTAGGTGTGGATTGCTGAATTAGGTTTCTGGAAATGCAAAGAAAAATATAGTTTTCAAATATTGGTTTTTTGTAGGGTTTTTTTGTTTGATTGCATGGAGGACTTCATCATGAGCTGTCATCTGTTAGAGAACCACCCAGTGGCTCAATGATCTGCGAGCTCGCCTAGTAACCAGAAGGTCCTGGGTACTAATCCTACCGGGTGGGTGCATACTGATGAATAGTCCCGAACTAGGACGAAACAGCTGTCCAGTACTCCCAGTTGGTTTTCCAGTGGTTCTCTAACCGATCCTAGCTCATGATGAAATCCTCCATGCAATCAAAAAAAACATAGTTAGAAACTGTTTTTCACTTCCATTAAAATCGTGCGAATTGGCACAAATGTATGTAATCACTTCAGTACTAAAATTTTAAATTTTAAACCTATTTAATATTCTTAATTGAAATATTCTTTACACTTTCACATTTGTATTTTTCTATCACTGATATTATTCTACCATTCACTGCCTTAATCTATTGTGTGTGTGTGTGTATGTGCACGTGTGTGTATTATTTCATAGTCAGCCCGCCTACATGAACAAACACTCGTGTGTTTAATACAATAAGTGTGTCTTGCTTTTCAATTCAATCAGTCAGGCAGTCTATCTATCTGCCTGCTAGCATGCCTATCGATCGATCGATAGTTTGAAAAGCATGTTTTGGCTTTACAACTAAGCATTAGATGATTTCTGGTAATGTTGAAATAACTGTGTGTATCATGAAAATTAGGAAGTATTTGACCTATTATTAACTAGCTATTTAATAGTCGATAATAATTGCGTAAATCACAGCGATTATTGTTGATTATCATGGATAAAACTACTTTTCAAGATTTTGATCACGGATTGATATCAGTTAGAGAGCTATTGAAAACCAGGGAATACTGAACAGAGCCAACTGTTTCATCCTAGCTTGGGACTCATCAACAGTACGTACCCACCACAAAGGTTCGAACCCAGGGCCCACCTGTTAAAAACAAACTTTTCTGAATTAATCTGGCTGGAGGTTGAAGTTGCCTGGAGTTCTAGTAAGAGATCATGACCAGTGGGGTCCACCCGATCGGGAGTGAAGACAAATACTCGCCGATGATGTCATTAGCTGGTGCCAATTGGGCTGAAACCACGAATAGGTAGAAGTTAGAATTCATGGGCTGGTCACTGAGTTGGTTCCCCCAGTGGTTGGAATTGTTCACGAGCTTGCATTGTAACAGGAAAGTCATGGGTTGGGATGCGTGTGGTGAGTAGCTAACTGCCGATGAGTCCCAGACTGACGAAACAGCTGACTGTCCAATACCGCTTGCTGGTTTTCAATGGTTCTGTAACTGATATCAATCCGTGAACAAATTTGAATTGATATAACCACTAAAAAGTTGTGTTTATTTAATTAACAACTGCCATGCGAATTGACAGTGTACTGTAAATTTATCAGATGGTTAGAGACAATCGGCGTGCGTCGCCGGCAGAGCAGTTAGGACGCTTGCCTACCGTGCACATTGTCCGGGATTCGATCCCCGACCGACACACTCCTTTATCTTGCCAAACCAGAAATATAGCTGGTAAAGAGGAAAGGTTGTGGGCATGAGGCTAGCAACCTTATCCTGGAAAAATAAACACCACTGCTACAGAAACTTCAAGCCTCTGGTTTTAAGCCCCATGTTCCACTGGGAACGTGAAGGAATAAAAAAAGAGACAATCGGCAGGAAACCCTGTCCTACCTAGGTTTCTTGCTTGAAGGAACCCTTATCCTTCCTGAGATTTGAATCCAGTGCTGCAGTGTCAGAGACGTTACCATTGATCTATTTTGGCTCGTGATTGACTTCTTGTAGGAATGTATTGGATAGTTCGATTGTACACTTGTTACTACCTATTGTCGAATCAAAGCAGTTGGCTCATGTTTATTGATAATACAGTTAGAACAAGTTGAATTAGAGGAGACCACCACGATTTACGAGTACTAACAAGCACGAAACCTAGGTCGGAGGCCTCCGACCATTTAGTAACAATAAATCTGAGTACACCGTCATGTTTAAGCCTCTAAGCTGATAAAATTCAGTCTGCACCAAGCTGAGGACAATGCTCATGACACTAGTTACTAACTAGTGCCCAATCAAAGTATTGTAGATTCATTGTGACATGTTATTTTCTGACTGAGATTTCTCAAACAGCAGCTACCTTCTCTGGCCCTTTACTGAAATTCAGTTGGCCTTTCGAGAAGGATAAGGAAAAATGAAATGTGTCGACGAACCAACCAATGATATTTAGCCTAACAAATATGTCGAGAGAAATAGAGATGGTCCCTGGACACATTCTGAGTTGGTCCGTGGCTGGACGTGGTGGCATACGCCTGTAATCTAGCTACTTGGAGGCCAGGATGCGAAATTTCGCGGGACCGGGAGTTCTGGCATATAGGTGCACATGTTGATCGGGCATCCATGCTAAGCACAGCGCCGATATGGATGAACTGTCGGAGGACGGGTTGTCCAGGTCGACTAAGGAGGGGCGCATCGGCCCAAGGGGGAAGCCCAGCAGGCAAAAGTCCACGCGTGGTGCGTTAGTGGGATAGCGCCTGTGAATGGTGGCCATGTGACAGCCCGGTCCCCACGTGGAGACCGCCTCCATCTTTGTGCGTCGGTGGTACAGTGGTTAGGACTCTCACCGACCATGAACATGGTCCGGGGTTCGATCTCCTACTGACGCACACTCGATATCAATGGTCGGCCTGAAAAATTTGGGCTACCGATATCATATGCTGGAAATTCCTTACTTCTACTAAAAAAGTGCTGTGTGAAATTAAGCTGCAATCCAAAAAAATTTAAAAAATAACATTAAGCTCCATCCAGGCCCTTGAATGGAACCTGAATGGGAACCAATGAGTTGAGGGGCTGAAGGTGACATGGAGGAGATCATATGAAGACGAAATGACAACTTTTAGGCAATCATGGAGCCAACTAAACAACACAGTGGTGAAGAGATTGGAATGCAGATGTTTCACTGACGCCATATTTTCCAATCGAAATCCAAGGCACAAATAATAAAAATAAACAATAATCATGCATCTAGTCTTTAGCGATGTTCACTGGATGCAATCAATCATGTTGGCATTATTGCAGTCATCAGTATTACTACAAACAATTTTGAGCCACACCATTCCACCAACTATCAATCCTTTTGACCCTGAGGAATCTATATAGTTCAAATTAAAAGTTAGTGGCATCGTAACACTTTTTTTATTCCTTTACGTTCCCAGTGGAACATAGGGCACCTTCAAGCTAGAACTTTGGAGTTTCGATAGCAGTGGTGTGTTATTTTTATAGGATGGGGTCGCTAGCCAGCCTCATGCCCAACCTTCCCTCTTTACCAGTCTTATTATTGGCTTAGCAAGGTTTGGAAGTGCGTCGGTGGCGGGGATCGAACTGCGAACCATCTGTGAGGTTGGTGCGCATTCTACAACTCTACCATCGACGCATCTTAACATGGTGACAATTTTTTCATCTAACCACTCCTAACTCCTCTAAACTTATCCTGCATCAGTTCATATCACACTCGACGAGGAAGACAAACTATATGGGGGGGGACACTCATTAGCCAATGTTTATGGGGATTTGTTCACACTGAAACAGATGACGTCAAAAGTAGACTTCTTAAGCACAATAAAAGCCACATTTATTTATATTGTGTTCTATGTAGTATATTCAGCGCAATTCAAAAATTCTATTTGCTGTTCTATTGTTGTTGTTTTTTCTTTTGTCAGGCCTCTTGAATTTTATACAAAATTGGATGATATTGGTTATTTACTGTTGAGTTATGCGCATGCATCAATGAATGTTCAGGTAAGAGACTTTAAGTCATTTAGAATATAAAAAAAGTTAACTGATGAGTTAAAATGTAGCAGAAAGTTAGTTAGTTAGTTGGTAAGGAAATACATTGATCGACTAACTGACTGATAGGATATAGTCAACACGAACACTAAGGTGCTAGACACACGACAACTCGTCGTTTAACGTCACACAAACTCGAAGACTTACAGGTAAAAACCAACAAACTGGCTGAAGAGGCTGGCAGCGATAACAGGACTTCAGGTGAACATAGAGATGACAGAGGTGATGAAGGTAACCAACCGCCCAACACTAGCAACAACCAGCACCAATCACCATCAATAAAAGTAATTTGAAGGAGGTTACTTCCTTCACTTATCTGGCCAGGAAGCGTCGTTTCAACTATATGTGGAACAGATGAAGATGTTAAAGCCAGCCAGCCAGAATTGGAAAGGCGGGATACTCCTTCATAAGTCTGAACTCGGTTTGGAAATCTTCCCCACTCAACATAGAGAACAAGATTCGGATTTTCAGCACAAATGTGAAGCCAATCACTTCTTCCATAAGGGTCAGGAACGAAAAGTATTACCAATAGCCTGTTGGAGACTATCAACAGATATGCCTTCACTGGTTCCAAATTGAAGACGAAAGGCCTGTTGGGAAGAATTAGCAACAAGAATCTGTTAGGGGAAAACTAACCAAGAACCGATTGTTCCACAAATATGTAGAAGAAAATGTAGATGGATTGGGCATACACCGTGGAGACTGTCGAGTCACATCGCTCGATTGGGACCTGAATGGGGAACGACAAGACAAGTTGTGGTCCGAGGTTGACATGGAGGAGACCGTGTGAGGAGGAAATAGGAGACTATAAGCAATCGTGGAGCCAGTTGAAGAGGACAGGAGAAAATAGAACAAAGTGAAGATGTGTTGTTAAAACCCTATGTTCCACTTGGAGCCCACGCGAACAATAATAATAACACCCTGATCGATCTGACTGCAAAATTTGAACAACAATTAATCAGAATCAAGAAACAATAAGTCACAAAATTGTTAAAAATAATGACTATAGGTAGTCACAGTGTTCTGAGATCGGCTTATTATTTTTGATTTCGTTCATTAATCCATTCCATAAGTTCAATCCGCCCAAGAGACCAGCTATTCTGTCAAGATTCTCCTCCATATGACATGTTTTGGTAACTCCAATTAATCCATTATTATTATTATTCACACAGTAATCATTCATGCGATCTTCTTTAAACGCTTTAAGCAAGTTCAGAATTAAATTGGTAATACCAAATGTAACTCTCTGTACGTCTCTAGGTCACTGGTAGGACATTGGCTAACCAATCAAGTGAACTGGGGTTCGGTCCCCGACCGATGCACTCCTTTACACGCCTCACTTAACCGGTAGTGTAAGCCCGGTAAAGAGAGGGAGAGTTGGGCATGAGCGTAACAATCTCACTCTATGATATCAGATAGTTGGAGGCAATCGGCCACAGGAAGCCCAGCCTGACCTAGGTTTCGTGCTAGTTGACACTCACCAGTCAGTAAGGCGTATCTGCAACCTTGAAGGAACTCATGTCCCTTCTGAGATTCGAACCCGCGTCACCAGCCAGTGCCACCTGCAGTCAGAGACGTTACCACTGAGTCATTCGGGTATTTTGATTGGACACTAGTAACTAGTGCGATGTGTCTAGTCCTCCTCCTCTAGTCATCCAGGAGGTCAATGGCGAGCCCGAATAGCTCAATGGTAACGTCTCTGACTGCAGGTGGCACTGGCTGGTGACGCGGGTTCGAATCTCAGAAGGGACATGAGTTCCTTCAAGGTTGCAGATACGCCTTACTGACTGGTGAGTGTCAACTAGCACGAAACCTAGGTGGCGTCAAAGGCTTCCTGTGGTCGATTGCCTCCAACCATCTAATATCATCAAATCAATGTACACCGTGATGGTGAGCTACCTAGAATGTTGGCCACATTGCAAATACCTGACTGATAGAATTCAGTCTGCACCAAAGAAAGGACTAGACGCATAACATTAGTTACTAGTGCCCAATCAAAATCTCACTCTATAATAAAAAAAAAAACACCTGTGCTATTGAAAACTTCAAAGATCTAGCTTGAAGCCCACTATATTCCAATGGGAACTCAATGGAATAAAAATAAATCCTTTTATAATATAACTAAATGGTTGTCAAATGTGTCATACACCAGAGTTGTTGCTATAATTTAACTTTGTCAATATAATTTCCTTAAAGTTCTACAGATATATATGTATCTAGCTGGAAACCGAGATAGATAGATAGATATCTTCAGAAGGCTTTCTTACCTCCAACTATACATAATATCAATCGGTTCATCAATTCACAAGCAGAGATATTCACTTATCAAATTGGTAGGGGGAGGTGTGGGGTGGTTGCGTGGGTGGCATATGACTTTTAGTCTTATTTTCATCAACGTCAAGAACTCACTGCTTATTATATGTTGCTTAGCTTACTTATGTACCCTCGATTAATCAATCCAACAGTCGATTTTTTGAGAAGCACAAAGATGTTTAAAAGCATCAACCAACCAGTTCTATTAAGGCCTAATAAAATCCACCAATATGCTTGATTCGTTAATATATATGTGCAGTAAACAACCTTGTCATCGTTTCCAGTGCCTTTAGTCAATATTCAGTCGAAAGTGTATTCGGCCTCTTGTTTTTTTTCTCTTTTCTCTAAAAACCTTTCGTAAACACGCCTTTTATTTATATATTAACTCGAGAAAATAATTAGTGGACATGTGGCACAGGTAATGGTTTTCTTTTTTCAGTTGGCTTTCAGATAATATTCAAGTGTTGGTTTGTAGGGATTTGATTGGTGACAGGATTTAATCATAAGCTGACATTGGTTAGAGAACCATTGGAAAACCTAGAGTACTGGACAGCTGTTTCGTCCTAGTTTTGGGACTCTTCATCAGTACGTACCCATCGGGGTTCAAATCAAGGACCTTCTGGTTACATGGCAAGCTCGTAGACCAATAAGCCACTGGGACCCGATCCAGTTTTTGGATTTCGATTCTCTGCCCATCTTATTATAAGGCTTCAGAAGAGGATTGAATGTATTACTTAAATGCTGGTGGTTAGAATTCGACTCCCTGCCGATGCATTCCTAAACTAGTCGATAGTAAGTCTGTCCTGTATAAAAAATCAGCATCACCGCCATGATGACGTCGAAGCTTGAAGTCATAAAAATAAAGTTATCTGTTATTGATTTAGTCAGGTGAACCATTCAGTTTTTCTCACTCTTAGTGTTACTTTTTGAGGAAGGCAGTGAGGTGTTTGACACATGCGTAACACATATCCCCCTAACTGTTTCTCAGATGATGGGATTATTTACAATCTGATGAGAATTCAGTCACATGTTGCAAGTAATTCTTACCATCTTCTTGTGAAAAGCAAGTAATTTTCTACTAGTAGGACCGCTCGTGTGTCGGTGGCACAGCAGTAGGATGCTCGCCGACCAAGCATGTGGTCCGGGGTTCGATCTCCAGCCACCGACGCACTCCTTTACTTAGCTAAGCCAGTAATAAGACTGCTAAAGAAGGAAGGTTGGGCATGAGGTTGGCTAGCAACCCCATCCCGTAAAAATGAACACCACTGCTACCAAAACTTCAAAGCTCTGGCTTGAAGGAATAAAAACTAAAAAAGTGGAACAGACCAGCTGAGGAACTTGAAGGTTTTAACACTATTTTTAGGTGTAATCAATAGCAGTGTTTTCCACACCAGCAGTAGTGACCTTTTATTCACCTTTTAATTCTCTCCTTTTTTCTCAGTTGTTAGATATCGTCATGAATCAACCTTAATTCAAGACCACTGAAAACTAGGGAGCACTGGATAGCTGTTTCTTCCTAGCTTGGGACTCTTCAGCTATGCTCACCCGTCGTCAGAGATTGAGCACTTCAGGAGACTTATCTTTTTGACTGTTCAGCCGTGAATTCTAACTATACTATCAACCGATGCCTTCGGTGGGCACCTACTTCACCTTGACATGGTATTATTGGGATCCCGCTGGTCACAACTTTTCACTAAAGCTCCAGAATATCCCTCCAACCTGATGGTCCTGATTTCGTTCCCTGGTAGATCACGGGTACGTCCTGCTGTAGAGTTAGGAGCTGGGACAAAACACCTGTGTGTCAATGCTCCTTGACATTCACTTATCTCTTCAAATGATGTTGGTTCATTACGAAATCTAACAGTTGACATTAATCCAAATCTCCATAAAAATCTCACAGAATCTAAATATCTCTGCCCTGTTCGGTACAAAAGAGGAGGCTTAGAAAGGTGCCGCTCTTCAGTAGAATCCAATGAATATGCACTGAAGACATACTTGATGATGATGAAGAAAGAAAGTTGACACAAACTCTGGTTGGTAATAATTATCCAGACAAGTTCATCAGGAGATATAAAGTGATCAGAACATCAAAACCCATTCTCCAACTCGCCGCTATGTGAAAGGTGTATATACTAAGTTACCCTATGATGGGGATCTTAACAGCTTAACAACTAGACAAAGATTGAATGCTGCTGTGGTTAAAGACTTTTTTATGCAGCTGAGATTAGAAAAATCGAGAATGTCAAGCCAATATATACATCTAAGCCCTTTGAACATGCGAAAAATGATGTCACATCCCACCAATTCGCATGTGCGTGTGGACACACATACATAGAGAAGACTCATCGATCTCTGCAAGTAAGGTCTGGCTTCAGGGCATATTCCTAAATGGGTTCAGAAGCAAATAGAATCCCCAGAACCCAATTATCGTGAAAGCAGACGACCACCTAGCTCCTCTATTACGAAACATATTATAGAGACAGGACATAAAATTGATGGTGACACATCTTTTAAACCTATCTATAAAACGTGTTTGGGGGAGGGCGTATCCTAAAGTTTGTGGAAGCGCTAGCTAGCAATTAGAAAGTTTAAACAACCTTTATACGGTCATATCAATAATTCATCATTATCACACTAAACCTTCCTTGGTAAACTTTGTTTTGATACCAGCTAGGGAAGGTGTACTATTACCTCTGTTATTTGGTTTAGTGGTCTTCATTGTTATTTTCACCTTCAATATATCCTTTTGACTTGACTTAAGTCTATTTTCTCACCTCCTAGCTCTTTATTAATTTCATATATATATATTCCTATGACAAGTCCGTGGAGTATGATCAGATTGTTCGAAATAAGTGTTGCGCGCGAATACAACACATTAATAATTGTTCTAATTACCTCTTTTATTTTGAACACTTCTAGATTCTAACAGATAAAACAATCGGTGGGCAAACAGGAAATCTTACACTATACCTAGTTGTACATGTTCTTTGCGCAATTGGCACCTGGTTGCTAGGAATTTATCTCGACTGCATACTTGATAGTAAGTCTAGTTACTTTTATGACTGATGATGGTGATGATGATGTTTCATTTAACTCTTCTCTGTCATGACTCACTCCAGCTGATTTTTTTTTATTCCTTCACGTTCCCAGTGGAACATAGGGCTTCAAGCTACAGGCTTGAAGTTTCTGTAGCAGTGTTTATTTTTCCAGGATGGGTTTGCTAGCCTCATGCCCACCCAACCTTTCCTCTTCACCAGCTTTATTTCTGGCTTAGCGAGGTTTGGGAGTGCGTCGGTGGCCGGGGATCGAACCCCGGACCATGTGCATAGTCGGCGAGCGTCCTAACCGCTATGCCCATTATCCCTTATCTCCTCCTCTGCTGATCTCCTCTATATCATTCTTGAACCGACGCCCCAGTCGTCGTTTCCCATTAGGGTTCCACTTGAGTGATGGCCTGCATTGAGCGCGATATCATTCGACAGTCATCTCAGTCTGTGGTGTATATGCCAATTCATCTCCATTTTCTCCTGCATACTTGTTGAGCCGTAGGTTCTTGTTTCGTTTGTTCCCAGAGTTCCTTGTTGCTAATTCTTCCCAACAGGGCTTTGGTCCTCAATATGGGGTAGCTGTTGATAAAAGTTTGCAGTGGCTTGCTGGAAATCCTGGATGGACCACAGCTACCTGAGGGAAAATTGGAGTCAATTTTCTTATATAACATAACTTTGCACGGAATCTCATCTTATTCTTGAATTTTAGTCAGAGTGTGTGGACTTTGGACTTTCCCGTTGATCGATTGGACCAAAGTGCTCTCGGCCTCAGATTGATATGTCGGTGGTTGCTTGTTCAGATGCTTTGACGACCGCTGATTGTTTGAATTGAATTAAATTGGTGGATTCGCTGGAACACATTGTCTGTATCACACCATCACAAACTAACATATGAAAATGATTGAATTAACGAATTTTAAGAAAACACCGAATGTGATTGATACTTTAAACTATTGATACCACCTATTTTGTAGTAGTTAGAATCATAATTGACGTAAGGTGAAATCCAAATCGTTTTTTATTGACAGTTGCATTTTCTTATCAAGCTGTGTTTGTCAATAATTTTCAGTGACATTCATTAAAGTGTTGTTTGATTTATTGGTTAGAGAAGCATTGGAAACCAGCTAGGTGTAATGGACAGTTGTTTTGTCCTAATTCGGAACTCTTCATAAGTACGTACCCACCACCCAGGACCTGCCGGAGACAAGGCTAGCGAGCTCGTAGACCATTAAGCCATTGGGACCCGACCCAGCGGCCAATAAATTCCAACTTCTGCCAATTCACGATATGTATATTTAGTGGAACCGCCAGCCAAGTGTCACAGACGGGTAACTGTCCTCTCACCTGACTTGGTGGACCCCATTGATTATGACTTCTCGCTAGAACCTAGATAACTGCCTGTCTGAATATAGCCAGTCGCTAGTGAGCATCAGATTGATATTTAAGTGTTGGTGTGCAGGAATTTGATTGGTTACAGGATTTCATTGATGCAGTTAACAGTTAAAACTGTTGTAATTGTACACTGACTTATTCTATTGAATATTAAAGGCTGTCTGCAGCTGATGATGAAGACCAATGAAATCAAATGGATCCACTACTAGTGTTTGTTCTTTCTCTGCTCAAATTTATAAATGGGTATTCTTGTATTTTTTATTTACCCTTCACGTTCCCCAGTGGAACATAGGGCTTCAAGTTAGTAGCTTGAAGTTTCTGTAGCAGTGTTTATTTTTTACAGGATGGGGTTGCTAGCCTCATGCCCAACCTTTCCTCTTCACCAGCATTACTTCTGGCTTAGTGAGGTAAAGGAATGCGTCGGTCGGGGATCGAACCCCGGACCATGTGTATGGTCGGCGAGCGTCCTAACCGCTATGCCACCGACGCACAGGATTCTTGTATGAACTTCTGTTAAATCATAGATTGATATTTATTAGTTTTATTTTTAACACAGAACATTTCCAGGGTTACTTTCATAATAACTTTTCTATCCCCTTGTATTATGCCCAATATCATCTGATTAATAATGTGAAAGTCAGCTGTTCATATGTTTTACTTTCCAATAGTTTATTTAATATACTCTTACTGTCATCTGGTGGGTAAAAATAGACTATAATAACCACCGAATGGCCTTAAACAAACAATCAGGTCACGAGTCATGTATTCAATGTGGGTGTTTTGCTTTAGGAAGTAGCTTTTTACTGATCGTACTTATATAGGGTCAAGGTTAACGGTAAGATTAAGAAGATTAGAGTTAGGTAGAATATTCACTAACCAACCACCCATATGGTCCTGGGTTCAGTGCCAGACTGACGCATTCCTATACCACGCTTGCCTGGGAGTGTAAGCTCAGTAAAAGAGGGAAGGTTAGATATGAGGCTAGGAATCGTAGTACCTCACAAAAGGGAACACCACTGCTAATGGAACTTAAAAGGTCAAGCTTGGAGCCCTGTTCCAGTCATAACTCAAGGAAATAATAATAATAAATAATAATAATAACAATAACAAAGGGTCGGATTAGGGTGTAGGATTAGGAGTTAGAGTAAAGCAATGTTGTTCCAATCATCAGTATAAATATCTAAGCATACAATTTATTCATTCAGACATCTATAAAACACAAAGGCAACTGAATAAAGAATATCCTTTTCGATGATTTCCTCTTCTGGCTCTACTATTATATATACATATATGTTTATATACACAGAATATTGTAGATTAGTAGTTAATAACAATATTAGTGTTTTTTTTAAATAATATCGATTTGTTAAGTAAGATCACCATGGAATTACAGTTTATTAAAGATGCTTAAATTACAGTAACAATAATAATAATAATAATATAATAGCAAATGGAATATCAACTAAAATTGGGGATATTTCCACAAAAATTGAGGATGATTCAAACTTAGATGGCCAAGGTAAGGATAATGTCTGAATTAACTTCTTTCGGAAACCCAAATTGGGCTTCTTAGTGTGGATCCCAACAGCCTCAGCAATATTTAGTAGTCGTACTCTTAAGGCGAAATTGAGATACGTAGGTATGCGGTAAATGACCCTGAAAGCATGGTAAAAACATCAATCTTGTGTCCTGTATCCACAAGATGAGACAGAATAGCGCTACGAATACATTTTGTTTCTCCTCTACTTAACCACTCAGGGTGATGTTCGAAAATCTGACGAGAAACACGCTATTCTATCTCATCTTGTGGACGCAGAATACAAGATTGATGTTAACGAGGCAGCTTTCAAAGTCATTTACCGCATACCAACAAATCTTAATTTTGCCTCAAGAGTTCGATTACTAAATATTGCTGAGGCTGGCCGTTGGAATCCATATTAAGAAGCCTAATTTATGCATCCAAAAGAAGTCAGTTCAGACATTGTCCTTACCTTGACCATCTAGGTTTGAATGATCACAAATTTTTGTGGAATTTTCCTAATTTTACTTGATATTCTATTTGCTATTATATTATTATTATTATTATTATTATAATTTAAGCATCTTTAATTAAATGCAATTCCACTGATCATACTTTACAAATAGATATTATTTAAAAACGCTGATATTGTCATTAACTACTAATTTAAAATATTCTGTGTATGTAAACATATATATAATTGTAGAGCCAGAAGAGGAGGAAACTGTCGAAAAGGATATTCTTTGCTCAATTATTTTGTGTTTTATACAATTTATTAACAATCTCAGAAATTTTTACAGTTCTTTATTCGAATTGTTTATTCAGTCCAGTACCCACCCACCACAGGGATTCGAACCGAGGACCTTACGGTTACAAGGCTATCGAGCGCGTAGACCATTCATTCATCAGCCACTGGGATTCGATCCAATGGTCAGCCCACGAATTCCAACTTCTGCCAATTCACGATATCTTGCGACTGGCACAAACTAATGTCATCATTGGTGAGTACTTGTCCTCACACGCTACCTGATATACCCCACTGGTCATGACTTCTCACTCGAACCCAGGTAACTAGCTAATTGAATATATATATATAGAGAGAGAGAGCTGGATAGGGAATTCTTCGTTTTTCTGTATCAATGTTCTTTTCTTTTATAGTTTCCTGTTATTCTGAATAATTTTTGGTTGTTATATATATATTTTTTAGCCGGTTCAGGACATAAATTCAATTGGAATTTTCCAATAGAATATTGTAAATTATACTATAAATCATTTCATTCTTCCGGTGATGATGATATTAAACATATTAAAGGATCATCACCCAGTGAACAACGATCACCAGGACGGCGACAGCATCATCACCAGAAGCAGCACCTACAGCGGGAGCAACAACATCAACAAAAGGAAAGTCAATCAGTAACACCGCTAACACCAACATCACAACAACATCAGCAGCAGCATAAAACCCAACCATCATCACGAGCTACTTCAGTGTCAATGCCATCAAGTTTTTCATATAATCATCGTAATGACAAACGACATGCGAAATCCCGTAATGATATGATTGAGGATATTAGTCATCGCTCTACACGTGTTCGGTAATTGTTTTTTTAAAAGTTTTTTTGTTCTTTCCAATTGTGATTACGGATTGATGTCAAATAGAGAACTAATGAAAACTGAGGAGTGCCAGATGGCTGTTTCGTCCTAATTTAGGTCTCTTCATGAGTAAGCATCCATAACCCCCTATGCAACAGGGAACAAACCCAAGATCTTCAGGTTACAAGGAGGCGAGCTCGTGTACCATTCAGTCACTGGCTCATAAATTCTAACTTGCATCAATTCGTGGTTTCAGCCCCACCGCAAGTTGTCAATGTCATCGGCGAGCTTTTGTCTATTTCTGTGTATGATACGTTAAATTTCTAGCTTTATTAGTGTAGTTAGTATGTTGACAGGCAGAAGTGTACTACTGACTACAGAATAAATTCCCCCGAGTTTTACCCTTGAATACACACACACACAGAGAGGATATTGCATATCTTGATGGTGTTATAGCACAAGTTTACAGGAACTAAAGCTTGTGAGTTATTGTATTACTTACGGGTTGGTCGGTTAACCTGAAGGTTTTTACGGTCGAACCCTTTCGTAGGATCATAGAAAAGCGCTTCTGAAGAGACTCTAACCAGGACGAAACGGCGACACATTGGTATATCCTGGTGTGTTAAGTACTTCTTTAACTGCTCTATCGGTTATGATCCTAAGACATCTCAAACTGGAGGAATTATACTCTTGTATGCGCTATATTCTATGTTGTTCCTTGTTTATCTTCATAGTGAAACTCATATATGATAAGCAGCAGTAAACCCTCCACCAAACCAGTGGAGGGTCCAGTTTCAGTCTCCAGTCGACACAATTCTAAGCCTTGCCTAGTAGTAGGCAAAACGTTTGGAGAAAGAAGAAAGGTTGGCTGCAGGGCTGACAATCCCATTCCTTAGAAAGAACGCTACCGCTACTGAAACTTCGAGACTTAAAGCTTAAAGCCCTATGTACCACTGGGAACGTGGCGGAAAAGAGGAGTACAATAAGTAAGCTCACCTAACACTGAATTTTATGGCGGAAAATAGAAAATAGTGGAGATGTGTTGTTGAAGCCCTATATTCCACTTGGAACCCAAGGGAATAATAATAATAATAAACACTGAATTTGATCTTGTCATCAAACATTATAATGTTATGTTGTTCTATGTGACGGTTTAATAGATGAAGACGTAAAATACTTATGCAGCCGAGAATTTGATTGACAGGATCGAGAGGATCACAATTGGCAGTTATAGGCTCCAACTACCTTTACCACATATACGCCGCGAAGAAGGGACATTGCTGTAGGGAGACAGATTTTACCGGCTCATTATCATTTATCGTTCGTTGTTTTCTCTCCAAGCAGAACAAAGGATAACTGCGCCACATCTCCGATGCACTCAGTTTTCCTCTGCCATTTTCACCTGGCTCGACGACTACCCTGAAGTTTTCAATTTCCCCCCCATCCCACCCACCCATGTGATCTCCACCATGTTACCCTCAGACGCCCAACTCGTTGCTTCTCATATTGTATTTGAGTTCCTTTCATGTCTCTCGTGTTTCTTCGCAACTCTGAATCATTTGCTCTCTTTGACTTCAAATCTATCCCCGTGTTATTTGATATTTTTATGCAAATGAACTCCTCTTTATATACTACTGATGAATCTTATCAGTAGCACACGCCGCAGTTCATTACAACAATAAAACGAGAAAAATATAAAACCTGTCTTTTACTTTCAATTTCTGTTTTTGTCACAGATTGAAACATGTTAGAAAAGTTTATACACAATGGAAATGTTTTAAACGAACTGATTTTGAAGCTATCACCAATATCAATATGTCATTACAAAAAGGTGAGATAACTGCGATTCTAGGACATAATGGTGCCGGTAAAACAACAATATTCAATATACTCGCCGGTTTACAACCAGCTACTGAAGGTTATATTCGAATATTTGGACAAGTAAGTGGATGGTGACTTCAGATAATGATGAGTATAATGGTACTAATTATCTTATAGTACAATGTCATGAATTAATATCAGTCAGAGAAGCAGTGGAAACCAGGGATCACTGAGCAGTTGTTTTGTTGCAGTCTGAGACTCTTGAATAGCGTGCGAATCCCTGATCCCACCAGGGATCGTATCAGGGACCTACAGGTTGTTACGAGGCCAACTGCTTGACTATTTGGGCAGTGAGACAGAATGTCAATAGAATCCAGTGACCCGTTGATCTTCATTTTTGTTAGTTCGTGATATGTATTATTATTATTATTGTTTCCTTTAATTCCTAGAGGAACATAGGGCTTCAGCCGTGCGTCTCCATTGCGTTCGGTCCTCTGCTAGAGTCTTCACTCGGCTCCAAGTCTACCCACACGCTTTCATCTCCTCTTTACATGACCTTCTTCAAGTCACCCTTGCACTGACGACCAACTCGCCGCTTCCCTTTCGGCCAGGTTCCACTCGAGCAATGGCTTGTCTAGTGATGTCACTTGATGGTTTGTTTTCTCAGAGTATGGCCAATCCATCTCCATTTCTTCCTGCCTATTTGTTTCACAATCGGTTCCTGGTTGGTTCGCTGCAAGAGATCTCTGTTGCTGATCTTTTCTGGCTGGCCATATGATCTTTAGTATTGAGCGAAAACAACTGTTAATGAAGTTCTGTAGTATGTTTGAGATGCTCTTTATGACGCACCAAGTCCCTAATCCGTATAGTAGCACTGACTTCACATTGGAGTTGAAAATCCGGATCTTATTTTTGATGCTGAGTGCTGTTGGCCTCCACACAGACTTGAGAGTAGTGAAAGCTTTACTTGCTTTTCCGATTCTTGCTTTGAAATCCTCGTCAGTTCCGCTTGTAGTTAAAACGATGCTTCCCAGATAGGTAAAAGAGGTTTTTTTCTTTCAGGTTCCTTCCATTTATACTGATCGTTGTCTGTTGTTGTTGTTCTCGCCCAGGAATCTTCATCACCTCTGTTTTCTCTATGTTCACCTGAAGTCGTATCTTTGATACTTCTTCTGACAACTTGTTGCTTTTTGCTTGCATATCTTCCAGTTTGTGGGAAATCGTGATATGTCACTGTCGTTAAGTGATGCTATCAATGAGCAATCACTTCACCATGACATGGTGGACCTCTGACTGACGAAATCCAGTTCCCTATTATTATTATTATTATTATTATTATTATTATATTTATTTCCTTATCTTCCAAGTGGAAGAACATAAGGCTTCAACAGCACATCTCCATTTCATCTTGATGTCTTTAGTTCATAATCTCTCGTCTTCTCCTAACACGATCTCCTTCATGTCACCCTCAGACTCCCAAGTCGTCTCCTCCCTTTTGTGTTCTACTTGAGGGTGGGGGTATCTGGCACTACATTTTCGTCTACATCCTTTTGGGGTGATAGGTTCTACAACACTCCATTACCAGAGTTCCTTGTTACTAATTCTTTCTAACTGGCCATCTGATCCTCAGTAACTAGATGACGAAGACAGATTTTTGTAAAAGCCTGCATGAAGCTGTTGGAAGTGCTCTTTGAGACTCACCAAGTCCCTATGAAAGTATACAAGCACTGATTAGACGCTTGTTTTAAAAAATTCGCATCTTGTTTCGTTTGCTTAGTGGTGCAGATTTCCACTATAACCCTCAACCAATGTAAAGTGTAGTTGGAGCGCTGCCGCCTAGATATACGTGAAAGAAACAGCTTCCTTCAAATTCCTTCCGTTTATGTTGATTACTGCTTGATGTTGTTCTTCGTTGGCTATCTTCATCACCTCTGTCTCTTTCTTCATTTGAATTTCTGTCTTGACTGCTTCTTCTTCTTCTTCTGCCAACTTGTTGATTTTCGCCTTTAGAGCTTCGAGTTTGTCTGACATTACACTAGACATCAATTGTTTGCGAAGTCCCATATCTTCCAGCATGCAAATCCTTGTGAAAACCATACTGCAACTTTAAATAAGACACTGAGAAGACTAATATCACGGGATGATGTCAACAGCATTGTTTACAATGATAAAAATGTTTTAAAAAAATGTATGAAAAGTTCACTTAGTTACACAAAACAAAAGTACATGCATAACAATAACTTATCGTGTATTTTAGTAGGTCAAGTAGTCATTCCATGGTAAACAAAACTTGTGAAGCCCGTTGTTTTTCGTACGCAAATAGTTTTGAATGCACGTGATTAATCCACAAAGTACTTCCATCACCTTCCACCTTCTTAATCAGTTATTATTATTGTTAGATTATTGTTCCTTTAGCTTCCCTAAGGCTTCAGGAACACATCTCTGTTTTGTCCAATCTTCTGTTGTCCTCTTTAGCTGAGCGCCCACGATTGTCGATAATCTCTCATCTCCTCCTCCTCCTCCTCCTCACACGATCTCCTGCATGCCAATTTCGGACAACCCACTCGTCATTTCTCATTCGGGTTCCACTCGAATGATGGCCATTTCATCTTCAGTATGGAGCTAGCAAAGGCAGCTCTAGCTGTTCATAAAAGGCTGCATCATCAAACGAACTCCAAGTTTCAGACCCACATAGAAGTGACTGACCTAACATTTGTGTTGAACAGAATCCGAATCTTATTGTTTATGCTGAGGCTGAGTGCAGAAGATTTCCAAACTGACTTCAGACTGACGAAAAGGTTAGATACAATATGTAGATGGACGAAAAGGTAACTCAACTTTCAAACAGGCCGCCAAGGTCTTGCCTTTCCGATTCTGATTGAATTTGACATCTTCATCAGTGTCGCCTATAGTTGAAACCGTGCTTCCCAGATGAGTGAAGGAAGTGACCTCTTTCAAATTTGTCTTGTTGATAGTGATTGGTGCTGGTTGTTGTTGTTGCTGTTGGATGGTTGCCTCTATCTTCATCACCTCCACCTTCTCTATGTTCACCTGGAGTCCAGTCTTCACTGCCATCCTCCTCTTCAGCCAGTTTGTTGGTTTTCGCGCCTGTAAGTCTTCGAGTTTGTGTGACATGAGAAAAATATCATCTGCGAAATCCAGATGTTCTAGGATCTTCTTATCAGTCCACAGTATTCCTGTCTTCTCACTGTCCATAGTCTGATGCATAATCCAGTTCACCACAATTAAGAATATCATCGTGGGTGATAATAGGCGGTCAGCCTCGTCTTACACTTCTGTATTCACTTCGAACGCCTCATTGAGTTTTCCATTGTATATCATCTGAGACACGTGCCATTGTCATATATAGCCAGCTGTTGAATGAGGTTAATAAAGATTTGGTGGGGGAACTGTACGCCACAAGTGTTGAGGCAATCTCCAAATTACTTACTTCTTTAAGACTGTAACGGTTACTGGTCACTGAATTGTCATGTGTTGGTGCTGACTATATCCTATCAGTCAGTTAGTCAATCAATGTATTTCTCTACCAACTCACTAACTTTCTGTTATATTTTAACTCATTAGTTAACGTTTTTATATTCTAAATGACTAAAGCCTCTTACCTGAACATTCATTGATGCATGCGCGTAACTCAACAGTAAATAACCGATATCATCCAATTTTGTATAAAATTCAAGAGGCCTGACAAAAGAATGGATGGAATTCTCACTTCTACCAATTCGTGATGCACTTATTGCGACCACCGACCAATGTCATTGGTGGGAATTCCATCCTCACACTTGACTGGATGGACCTCAGTGGTGATGACTTCTCACCAGAACTCCAGGAAACTCCGTCCTGTAGCAATTGAATCGAGTCCCAATGGCTGGATGGTCTCCGAGCTTGCCTTGTAACCGAAACGTCCTAGGTCGTGGGTGCATATTGCCGATGATTCCCAAACTAGGATGAAACAGCTGTCCAGTACTTCCGGCTAGTTTTCAATGGTTCCCTGACTGATATCAATCCGTGGTCAAACTCGTAAAAACAAATTTAATCCTTACAGACCAACTCCTGAAAATAGCCTTATTGTTAGACTATTGTTCCTTTAGGTTTCCTAGTGAAACATAGGCACTATAGACATTGATTTGGTTACTGGTTTTTTCAAGACAAACAGGACCGCGTTCATGAGTGTGTAAAGATGAATTCCTTTGAGTTGTTTGACCTATATAACTAGCCTCCACTGACATGAGCAGTTGAATTTCTATATACACACTGATGGGCCAGTTTTGGTAATTTATCTTTGTTGCACTGTGTCAGTAACGGTCTGGTTGAGAAACTGAAAGTTCTTTCAATTGATCTAATCAACGTACAGCTTAATATGTTACTCCTGAAATGTACCCTGACTGTCACTCAGTTATCTATTCACATTTTATCGTATGTTCTGAATGACTGTACACATTTTATGTACCATTCAATTGACAATATGCACTAACGAACTATCATTCATTTCATCTTATAACATATACCCCAAATACAGACAGTTTCTGATATAAATGTCACTTGCCTTTATTAGTTGACTATTTGGATTCTTAATATTCATGGATTTATAACTAAGTTGTAGAGCCTAAGGAAGAAGAATTTATTCAAACCACAATTGTTCGCTCAAAAATCATCTTGTTCTGATTATACATTTAGGGATTTTTAATTTAGTATAATAATTTATTGATTTTTTGAATAGTACAATTCAATGAGAATGCATTTGAAATTATTTATAATCCTGAATATCTCACAATGACTGCAACAGTAAAGAATAGGCAGAAAAGTCAAACAATTTTGAACCAACCATTCAGATCGGTCTTCGTTGTAAGTTTCATCCTAACCCCAATCTTCGCTGCAAGATTCACTGTAACCTTAACCATATCCCTACCGTAACCTAAACCCTGAATCAAGATGAAATTTCATTATGGGTAAAATTTACTTTGATAAAGTTTCACAGTGTTGTTATACAGTAACACTTACTGATGACATTTATTTTTCTAAATTACTTATCTTCGCGGGTTCACTTCTATTGTACTATGTGTTGGGTGTAGACTCGATGAACAAGGATTCAGTAATCAACCACTCTATCTGTCTTCACCTACCTAGATTACTACTGGGAATTTTAACGCTATCCGATCCTATTGTGTAGTTGTGTGTTAATGCATGCAGTGCGGTCGCTGAGTTTGTTTTTCTAAATTACTTATTGTCTCGGGCAGTATAAGGCATCTACTGTTATACCATATAAGGAGGGGACATCTGACACCCTACGTAGGATTCTTAATAAAGCAGAAATTAAGGTGGCATTGAAATCCTCCTACAAACTCACTCAGGTTGGAAACGTTCTGTAGATTAAAGGACCCAGTTGACCCACTTAGACAAAATGATATAATATACAAAATACTTTGCAATGACTGGGAGTGAGGTCAACTACGTAGGTTAGTCAAACTAGTAGATAGGGTGGGAATAGTGGTCGGTCGGTTTTCGACATAGAACTTTGCACATATGTGCGAAGAACAAAACAGTTTCATTGGAAATCATAAGTCACAAGGAGTGGATGCATCTGCGCGAGCCATTGAGAACGATTTTGAGTCATATCACCGACTGTCACCAGCCATTGGTTTTACCGTCCCGAGGACCTGAACCAACCAGTTAAGAAGTCTACACCTTCCTACATGGCTTAGACTAACTGTTGAAGACTTCATTGACTGATGCCTCCATGTTTTGGTTTGACCGCCGCTAGCTCTTTTCCAGCCTGACCCTATATCAGCTAATATTGCCTGTCGTCGAGGAAGGCGATGACTATGCACACGTAACACATGACCTAACCATCTCAGTCGATGTAATTTCACAGCCTCGTCGACTGATTTACCCTCCTTACCTAGCACTCGACCGATGCCTAAGCTCAATATTGCTCACCTTATTATACCACTTTTCACGGGAGATAGAATGCAGACACCTATGATCGAAGACAGCTAATCTTTTCATGTCTTCCGCTCTCAACGGCCAGGTCTCACAGCCAGCCATAAAGAAGGACGGAGCGGACTGTTGAGCAGTACACACGCCCTTTGGTCGATAGTCGGAATAGTGAGATTATCAGAACATAAGAATTTAGCTAAGCTTATAATGATTGATCCCGCGAAGATAACTAATTAAGAAAAACAAACTCAGCTATTGCACTGCATGCATTAACACGCAATATAGTGGGAGAGGGTTAAAATTCTAAGAAGTAATATAAGCAGGTGAAGAGAGAGGTTGATTACTGTGAATCTTCTTTCATCGAATAATCTACACCCAACACGTGCAATAGGAATGACTCAACACCAATACCAGAGATGTATGGAAAATACTACTACCAATCATCAAATCAAGCGATGAGAGGAAATAATGGAATTATATAGACGAAGTTAGAAATTTGTGTGATTAATGCCTTGATATGATGATTATGAGCAGTAATAATTTGTGCTTGAAACATAGTCATCAGTAAATATTATTTACTGTATAATACCAATGTGTGAGACTTTTTCAAAATAAATTTTACCCATAATGGAATTATACTCTACCACCACCACTGTGCACAAGTTCTATTCTTATATCAGAATGAAACTTGCAATAAAGATTATGAGAAGAATCTATTTGTAGTAGTACTGAGCGATTCTAATTGATTTGTTCAAAGTTGTTTGACTTTGATGTCTATTCTTTACTGATGCCAACATGCCTTTTTTAGTTGTTTTTTTATATTTAAATTTATTCTATGAACTTTACTTTTTTTAAAATTATGTTTACAGATCTATTGATACGTTATTTGGCCTAGAATCATCAAGTGTTTTTTCTGTTGGTTTTTCTATCCTATCTGATGTGATGTTTGTAATCTAACTAAGATTATTGTACGTAAACGCCATATCCTAACCAGCCACCTGTGAATCGTTGGAACTTCACAATCCCTCTCGATTGACATTCACTCCTTATCCTAATATTCAACACTTCGCCAGAATTAATAATGACCATGCTTACTTACTCTATCACGAATTGAACACATACATGCACACACACACACTGATAAGGTGACAAACTGTTAATCTTTCCATATCTTCACTTGTCATCTTTCACAGCCGTCAAGTAGGACGAAAAGAGACCGATTGCACGTGTTACACACACACACACACATGAGTAAACATCCTATTCCTATCCTTTCTTTGAAAAAACTCCTCAGCCGTAACTTTCCGATGCATGTCCCTGAGATGATACTGCGATGTTTCAGACTGAAATCAAAATAACATCCGATCAACAAGTGTTTGTTCTGGTGGTAAGGAAGTCAGAAGATAAAAGGAAAAACAATTGGAAGTGTGTTATAACTGTAGCGGAATTAAATGAGGACGTTGTCGCCTTGTTCTGTCTGCGCCTGATTAATATGCCTATCTGCTTCTGATACCTTCCGATTCAGCGAACCACGCAAATATCAAAAGACAAAAGCTGGTCTGTGACTGTATATTGTAGTACAACAACTACGACGACAAAGAAACTTATTTAGGAAATGGTATTTATACATTTTTACAACAATACAGACAGCTAACAGCATTTGAAATAATTGGTTGTAATAGTCAATAACAAAATGCGTGGGAAATGATGATATACCACTTATGCGAGATTAACTGCCGTTGAAATAATTGAACAATAAACAAAGTGCCTGGGATCCTATCACCTCTCCCCGTAAAAAGTGTAGGACTTGCTTTTTGGATCTATTTGAAAAGGTTTCGGAGCTCTTCTTTGTCGAGTTGACCTTCGCGTGGTACTGGATGGAGTGTGATCTGTGTCCCGAGCTTCCGGCTGCGGAAGATTAAATGTATCTGCTAATACTTCTAACGTGAGGTCTCGTCTCCCATTGTCGGGTCTGTCTGCCGCATCTCGTATATGATTCGTGTGTCTGACACATAACTGTCCTTCCACATTCACTTTGTATAAAACCCTTCCTTTCTGCCCCACTATTTGTCCTCGAATCCATCTCGGAGGTGAATAGCGAAAATCTCGTACATAAACTTGCTGATACAATTTGAAAACTCGACGTTTAGCTCCGTGATGGCGATTGAATTGGTTTTCCATTTTTCTATTTCTGCGGCCCTGCTTTACTTGCCTAGGCTTAATTGAGTCAAGGGCAGTTCTGATCTCTCGGCCAAAAATAATTTCTGATGGGGATAACTGATTTGGGGCGGAAGGATTTGGCGTTGTTCGATAATGCAGCAAGAATTTATCCATATTTCTTCTGTTGTTCCCTCCCCCTTCGCTTTTGCATAAGCACGCTTAAAGGTGTCAACGAAACGTTCAGCGTGCTTTTGACGCCGGCGTTGCAAGAGAGACTGATCAGATACATGTCCGGGAACAACGTTATTTGGTGAGGACGAAACATTAGAGCATACTGAATTTAATGGTGCATTGAAGATATGGAGCTTGTCTAACCAGTCAAGACCAAGCAAATTCAAATCATAGTAGTTTCTGACGTAACATACACCATTGAACTGATACTCACCAAACTGAACCTGGCAATTTACCTCACCCACGAGTTTCAGTATATCTCCAGAGGCATTCTTAGCGACATGCTCGGTCGGCAGAATCTGTGGGCACCCAAGTTTGCGCCACATAGTTCGGGAAACTAAGGTGATATCTGATGCCGTATCCAACTGAAGACGAATAGATTTGCCGTTAATACGTAGTGTAATGTACTTACGTTTGCTGGCGAAATCGACTTTGGAAGTTGTGAAAATGGTCTGTATTCGAGGAGATTGTTTCGGCTTGAAACGACTACTTCTGTTCTTCACCGAAGAATTTTTCTGTGGTGGACAGTAACCCTCTTTATGTTCAAAACGGTGACAATTACGGCATTTATGTTTCTTGAAAGGACAGAACTTGACAAAATGCCACGAACCACAGTGCCAGCACACAGAAGGAGGTTTAGCTGAATTCTGAGACTGACGTGCTGTGTGCTTAACGGTGATCAGAGGACTTTTCACTGTGTTAATTGAACCAAATTCAGACGACTGTCGTTTGCACTCCACCATAGCAGTATCGTGCTTCAAGTTGATTAGGCGTTGGCATTCTGCTGTCACCATTTGTAAAGTCATTTTCGGGTCTTGTTCCACGAGTGACAGAAGTCGAGTTCTTATGTCAGTATCTTCTGGGTTCTTCAACCCACAAATAAAAATCAAACACTTGAACTGATCTGATGTCATTTCGTGTGGTTTGAACCTTTCGCATTCCTTGTTTACTTTGCCAGCGTAAGTGACATAATCATCGGAAGGCATTTTTGTCAACTGAAAACATTGATACCGAATATTAAACATGGATGACTGTTCACCAAAGATTTGTGATAAAATGGTGACTGTCTCATCGAATGATAATTCACGTGGGTTCTTAGGCAGAATGAAGTTAACATATCTGTTGTGCTCAACAGTTCCAAGTTTTCTTAGTAACAATCGGACTTTGGCAGCATCATCAAACATGTAGCATTCAATACGGAAAACGTCTTCATAACGATTGAACCATGCATCAAATACGAGACCAGATATTGGGTCGTAGTTGAACTCACTGATAGAATTTGAGATGCTTTCATATTTGTCTGAATGATATGTTGATGGAACTTGAATGGACAGCTTTTGAGTGAGCGCTTCGATTAAATTTAGTTGAGCTGCTTCATTCTGAACTTGCTGCTGCTGCAAGATAGATTTGAGATCGTCCAGAGAGATAGACATTGTAATTGGGTTGTCATTAACACAGTCAAAAATGTTCTATAGCTGCGCTGAACAGAATAAAACCCGTCGTCGCTTGCTTGTTATAACTGCAATGAATTAAAGTAAACCCCGTCGCCAATTTGTTGTAACCGTAGCCGAATTAAATGAGGACGTTGTCACCTTGTTCTGTCTGCGCCTGACTAATATGCCTATCTGCTTCTGGTACCTTCCGATTCAGCGAACCACGCAAATATCAAAAGACAAAGTCTGGTCTGTGACTGTGTATTGTAGTACAACAACTACGACGACAAAGAAACTTATTTAGGAAATGGTATTTATACATTTTTACAACAATACAGACAGCTAACAGCATTTGAAATAATTGGTTGTAATAGTCAATAACAAAATGCGTGGGAAATGATGATATACCATTTATGCGAGATTAACAGTCGTTAAAATAATTGAACAATAAACAAAGTGCCTGGGATCCTATCAAAGTGTAACACGAATATTATTTTTATTGCAAAATCCATAATTTACGAAGAACGTCACAATCCTCATGGTGGGTGATATATACTCACTTCTGGAAAGTGCAGGCCTAAGATGAAACAGACATCCACTGCTCCTTGAAGTTCCCATGGTGCAATTTCTATCAGTCACACGGAATCTCTGGTTTTCATTCCTGACCGACACGCTGCTGAATGCCCCGCTTAGGAGTTAGTTAACTCGGTAAACTGGGAAGGTTGAACGTGAGGCTATCGATTGCAGCCCTTAAAAAATAGCATCAGCGTTACTGGAACTTGAAGCATAATATTCCCCTTAAAACACAGGGAACAAAAAAGATGAACTGAGTGACTTTAATGAAACATAATATTTGATTTCAAGTTTGTGAAGCTACCTTCTAGAGAATTCAGCGACTCCAACGGAATCTAACTCCTATCAATTCGTATTCTCACTTGAAATAAATCCAATCTATGCTAACCCCAACACTTTAAAATAATAATAATAATAATTGCACTCACGATTTTGTTTTCCACTGATATCCTCGAAGAAAGCGTTTTGTTCCAATCTTTTTTCTGTCTCCATCATTCTGTATATAAGATGATGAGATAGATATATTTTGTCATCGTCAAATTTTTATTTTCTTGATGATTGATTTGTTTATTGTTTTGTTTTTTTTGACAACAAAAAAAAAATCTTACTACGATATGCAGGATCCACAGAATGCTTGGGATGCAATTAAACTACGTAAAATCACTGGTGTCTGTACTCAATTCGATGTATTCGATGATAAAATGACTGTTTTAGAGCACATTAAACTATTTGGTGCTATTAAAGGTTTATCACCATCAACTATACGTCATGAGGTACGTGTAGGTAGGAAGAGAGAAAAGTGTTTGTTATTTGTTTGTCGTTATACTATCAAGTTGCGAGTGTTGTTAGTTAATTTTTTAGTGTAGAGATACAAAAATGAGATATTGAACCGTTTTTTTATGATCCATACACAGTAGTGATCAGCGTCTTCGAGAACTTTTCTGAAATTCAAATGTAAATCTGTATTCGGCAAGTCGAGGAAAGGATATAACGAAGTGTCTACACTCACGACATCCCGTAGATATTTAACATGATCATCAATACAACCTGATAGTTTATGAGTCTCTTGCGTTAACGAACTTTTCCACATGGTAGATTTGCCAGCCTATTGTTCTAATCAGTAATCGCAACGATAACCATCAGGGACACGTGAAGCAAGAGAGAAAGAAAGAAGACAGATCGTTGATGTAGAGAGCTTTTACTGTCTTGAATAACAGTGGAAAGGCTTGACAGCAATTCCGCAAATAATAATAATTTACTTTACTCCACAAACAGCACTTATAATACGGAATGGAATTCTCAGAATTTGTCACAACACCTTGCATCTGATTTACTCATTATATAAACGAAATTAAAACAAAATTAACTAGAGGAATTTGTCCTCATTTACGATATAAAGTCAAAAATATTCGAAGTACGAAATGACAATAATAAATATAATAATAACAGTGAGTTTGTTTCAAACAGTAATGTTGATTCGGTTTGGAAATTTTAGCATGTTATAAATTATTGAATCTAATGTTCTGCATGGTGAGGGGGACGGCAAAATTAACAGTTATAACACAGCTTAAATGATGTTAACCCTTTTGAGAAAAAAAATTGCGAAGATTATAAATATAAGAGGAACGACAACAACAATAAAGCTTGATGTTATAAGGGTGGCGAAAATAGTTTATTTACTAGTGCAAAGAAGGTTAGTTAGTTAGTTAGTTCGTGCCTGACACTGTTTTCATCACATAAAATACATGCTATAGTGGAATTTTTATACTTAGACGTACGTGCATAGAGTCTTCTGAAAAGACTTCTTGTTTTACCTCAGGAGACACAAGGTTGGAGCTGTGGGTGCTGAGATGGATGGTCACAGTCTGACAAAATTCCTTTAGCAAATTGGTTGTATGAAATCAAGTGCCCGTCATCAATGGCGATGTCAACGATATGGCCCAATGGAATAACATTCGCTCTAATGACAGTCTTCAGAGCTCTACAAAGCATGACATAGTCTTTTTTAAGCAATCTAGGAAAGAGTAAGGATAAACAGTAAAGAAGAAGGATATGTAAGATGCACGAGTTGACAAACTATAAGAGGAGAAGGGGTTGAGTTATACCTGAGAACCTTAACTTGCTAATGTAAAAGTCAGACGAAATATTCTTTTAGAAATCGCTGAGATGTCTGGGAAGACCAGGATAAGCCAGTAGAAAGAATTAATCCAAGATACTTAACTTCAGACTTGATTTCTATATCATCAATTTTGCAACGGTCATAGGAACTAACAGCTCCGTCATGTGCGTCGGTGGCACATTGGTTAGGACTCTCGCCGAACATGCACATGGTCTGGGGTTCGACTCCCTGCCGGCGCACACCCGATATCTATGGTTGGCCTGCAAAATTTGGGCTACCGATATCCAATGCTGAAAATTCCATACCTGTACCTAAAATACGGTGTGGCATCGAGCTGTAATCAAAATAAAAAAAGTAACTTAGTTTTACATTGGAAACTGAAATTAACAGTCTGACATTTGGAAGGATTTAGTTTAAGACCATTTGCTGACTCCTGATTGAAAGCCGTTCATCTTAGTACAATCTAGCTTGAAGTTAACGAACATTGAAATAGTTAGGTCATCCGCATGCTTAACAAAGTTCATTTCATGATGTGGGTTTCCAATGTCCACAAGAGAAATTAATTTCATTCGTAAGTTAAACCAGTTGACAACCAGTGTAGGTTCAGTGCTTTTAGGGATAGTGGGGTGGGTGGGTGTTAGAGAAAAGATACAAACACCTCGGTACTGCAAATAAAGTTAGTAGTTAAAGACTTTGGAATAATTAGGTTAATACAGGAATATTAAACGCAGCAAAACAATGCCAGTAAAGTTTTCATTCAGAGACTAGTGGTTTATCGTGAAACTTGAGTGTTTGAATATGGGTGTACATTCAATGTGAGGCAGTTGATGAGTGTCTCATGCAACAAAAACGTCTATCCATTTGTTAAACGTTCCCAGTAATGCTTAGTATACCATCAACCTATGAGTGGGAACGTCTTCACACCCATCAGAATAATGATTATTATTATTTTGGTTTTGTAGAGAATTTGTTTGATTGAATGGAGCATTTCATCATGAGGTGACATCGAATAGAGAACCATTGGAAAACCTGCAGGGAGTACTGGACATCCAGTTGTTTCACCCTAGTTTGGGACTCTTCATCAGTACGCACCCACCCAGGTGGGGTTCGAACCCAGGACCTTCTGCTTACAAGGCTAACGACCTCGTAGACCATTAAGCCACTGGGACACGATCCAGTGGCCAGCTCATGAATTCCAACTTCTGTCAATTCACGCACTACATAGCGCAACCACTTCGCAATGTATTCTTCAATAATGAGTTACTGCCTCACCTTCAACCTGCAGTACCCTACTGTTTACGTCTTCCCACTAGAACCCCAGGTTAACTGCTTGAATAGGGCAAGTCACTAGTGTGCATCAGATTATTATTATTATTATTCCTTTTGGTTCTGAGTGGAACACAGGGTTTCACCAACACTATTATTTTCCTCGGTTCTCTTCTGATGTCACACTTGTCGATAAGCTTTCATTTCTTCCTCATACAATCCGCTCCATGTCACTCTTGAACCCACGTCTGACTCGTCGCTTCCCACTAGACAGTCTTGTGCGTCATATCATTCAATATTCCCCTCAGCATATATGTCTAGTTCAGTGGAATCCACTAGGATGTGCATTTCGTGATGATGTTGCCCGTACCGAGGCTCGAACCCAGTGCCCATAGTTTCAAACACCAAAGTGTTATCCACTCGACCACGAGAGCCACCAACTCTTATTCAACGGGTCATATTAATTATTTAATTCAATTTTAGATTTTCCCGTCGATTGATTGGACTGAAGTGCTCGTGATACTTTTTTATATCTTTCTTGTATATTAGCTTTTCTACGTTTATATATAATCATCTTCCTATGGCGCATTTGTTTCCCTACTTCGTGTCGCAAAAATAATAACTTAAGGAGATACAATGGTGTATTATACTATATTACTATCCCCTTAGATTGAAAATGGTACATAGGGCTTCAGCAGTACATCTCCATTTCATCTCGTTCTCTTCAATCCTCATTATCTGGCTGCACGATTACCTATAAGCTGTTGTCTCCTCGTCATACGGTCTCCTCCATATCACTCTTGGATTCACACCAAACTGGTCGGGTTCTTCTCGAGCATGTACCTGACTTTAACATCCTCATCCGTGCCACCTGATGCCACCTAGATAGGTAAAAGAAGTCATGTCCTTCAAATTCCTCCCGTAGGCAAATAAATGTATAACATAATGTGGTATTATCGTAGTGAGTGTTGTAAAGGGAAGTGGTGATCAAATGGCATAACCTAAATATTCCCCAGTTTGAATGAGCCCTACTTGGTGGATACAAGTGAAAACGAAGCATTCTTGATGCAATAGGTCGCCTATAGCAACGTAAAATCATGAGAATTTTTAATTTTGAAACCTGTTTCCCAGATATGATGACCATAAAGTTACATTTTCTGTCACCACAAGCTAGCAAGAACTCTGAGTTTGTTCAAACAAATGCCTCGTAAAAATTCTATCAATTCGTAATTTTGCGGCTACTTGAGTGGTTACATGTTTGATCATGAGTTAACATCATTTAGAGAACCACAGGAAGACCAGGGAGTACTGAATAGCTGTGTCTAGTCCTTGTTTCCTACTCTTCATCAGTATGGATCCGTCGGGGTTCGAAACCAGGACACTCCGGTTACAAAGGTAGACCATTCAGCAACTGGGACACTAACCAATGGCCCATAAATTTCAACTTCTGCCAATTCGTGACTGTCATCTTATCTCATTTGGTGGACTCCACTGGTCACGACTTCTCACTAGAACTCTGAATAGTATATTTGTTATGTCCTTGCGTGGAGATTGCAACTCTACAGTAGGTAGGCGTCGTTGTTTGCATGGGTATGCCAGTCATTAAAAAGCCGCTCGTAACTAAGACATATTTTCTAAATTCAAACCTATCGCAAGTTTATTCATTTCTATTCTCACCAAATAGAGATAAATGATAAATTCACTTATTTTCCATTTTTCTTTTTGATTTTTCACGTTAACAAAAATAATCAGCCTATTTTTCAGAGAAACCTTGACCCTACGCATGCAAATATGTCTAATAGATATAATTTCTCTTAATTCTGATTGGTTCAAATAGAACAATGAATTAATCAATAGTTAGGTTGGTCTGAATGGTAGTAGGCGTTATTCATACATAGACTTATTGTAATATAAACACAGAGCGTAGCATTGACCAATAAAAGAAGAGAATATTGTTTACATTACTATGGTTTTATTTTGGATGTTTTTAATATTAGTGTGTGTGTGTGTGTGCGTGCGTAAGTTCATTAGACTATCTTACTTACTTTCTTTCTTTTTTTCTTCCAAATAAATCAGCTCTAGGCTTAAAGCATTTTTCGTGTGTTGTAGTGTCATTCATTTAACCAAGGTATGAGAATTCAGCACGCGTACCTACTTATTATTCATAAAATCTAACAATGGAATTTCTAAATTATGCGAAAAAAAAGTAGTCAGCCTACATCTAAGTTGATTAAGTGATGAATAAATGGACGTAGGAGAAAACAAAATATCGAAATGAAGTAGGAATGAATAAGCTTTTCATTTTTGTGAGAGTAGCAGTTATTATTGAATTATTAAAGGAAACACAAACTTGATTGATTATAAGTAACAAGAGATATACAACAATAC